CTTAGGTTTTTGTAGAAGTCAACAGCACTCAGTATCAAAAATAAGATCCGGATTTTCAACTCCAATGTAAAGTCAGTGCTACTTTACGGATCAGAGACTTGGCGAGTCATAAACAAACTTCAGACCTTCATCAACAGTTGTCTTCGCTCAATACTCAAGATCAGATGACCAGAAAAGATCAGCAACAAAGATCTCTGGGAGCGAACCAACCAGGAACTGATTGTGAAACAAATAGGCAGGAAGAAATGGAAATGGATTGGCCATATACTGAGGAAACCATCAAGTGACATCACTAGACAAGCCATTGCTCGAGTGGAACCCGAAAGGGAAGTGGCGAGTTGGTCGTCAGTGTGAGGGTGACTTGGAGGAGGTCATGTGAAGAGGAGATGAAAGCATGTGGGCAGATTTGGAGCGAGGTGAAAAAGTTGGTAGAAAACAGAAGGCAATGGAGGCGCGCAGCTGAAGCCCCCCTATGTTCCTCCAGGAACTAAAGAATATAATAATAATGTATAATAATAATCACGGTCATGAGAGAAACAGTAACAAAGCTAAACCTTGAGAAAATCACCAGCCAGTCACACCGCAGTTAAATTGTGAAAATGTGATTCACAGAAATGTGGCTTGATTTTTTGAGAAACGGAGACAAATAGGTAACAGAATAACCTTCAGCAAGACAACAGGCAGTCAGAAGAAGTTGCTTCTCCTCTAACAATAACGCTAATCCTAATGCACATAAAGATCTTGATTTTATCAATAAACGATCTGTTGCCTGATCCTTGTCTTCTATCGGTACACAGGAGTCGATTTTTTTTATCCAAGTAGCTGATGAAAAAGATGATAACTCAAAGAAAATGACATTTCCTTAGGTCTTGAAGCTATATACTACTGATTGATCAATATGAGTGTTTGGATACTATTAATATCAACCAATAGTGCTCTTTAGCCAATCATAAAATACCTTAACACGGAAATATGTAACAAGCAAATCGCGAATTCGATTACATTTATTACCAGTCCACTAAAGTAGCTAGCCAGATTTTATATGGTTTGAGCTGATTCGATCGTCTGAGATGGGTTGAAATCGGCACATCACTGATGAACTCGGTCCCAAACAGACTAAACAACCGCTCAGTGTTCAGGTCACTTCGATCTGGCTATCAGTTGCCCCTAGTTGATGTGCTTGGTATCTGTGATATCAAGCACTTCACGGTGAACTGTGAATTGTTGTGATTTTTGAGATGGTTGGAAGCAGTCAACCGGAAGCACTGTACCTACGTTTTGGTGTTTGTTGACCCTCACCAGTTAGTAAGGCATATCTGCAACCTTGAGGAAATCCATGTCCCTCCTGGGTTTCGAACGCCTGCCACCCAGTGCTGCAGTCATGGACATTACAACTGGGCTAATCGAGTTTGAGATCGCCCTCCTGTACTACTGTATTAGACACTTTGATTGCATACTAGGTAGTAAGTAATTTTGTACGTATAGTTCACTGTTTGCTGCAGCCTTATGTTTATCAGCCAAGTTACTAATTACAGATTTGATTCTACCTTAGGTCTTATATTGCTTTTGTAAAAGAATACGACTGCGTATTTAACTGCTAGCAGTACAAATCTTATATTATATCCAATGCGTGTTGTGTTATCGTAAACGAGTACAGATAACTGTATACATAACAGATGATTTTAGTCTTCAAATTAAATTTCTTGTTTAAACCTGCCAACTTCAGTATCAAGGAAGTTATGACAATAAAAGCTTTACAACTAAACCGCCTAGTTTAGAAGAAACAAACACACAGGAAACCTTCATCTGATATAGAATTCTCCATAATTTCAAACGCATCGGCACTGTTTCAATGAATGTTTCTATTATAATTCTTGACATTCTGAAATAAGACGGAATATTTCATGAGAAAATCTCTTGTGACTAAATAATCTTAGTTCAAGTGAAATCCTTTTATCCTGAACTATTATTTTCACGATAGTTACCCGCCCCCTGCCCCAATTATTTCGAAATGTTTTATTATTATTCTCAATTTACAAAATTTTCGGTATTATCCCGCTTATCATCCTTTATTTATTTCATTAAGTGTAAATTTTTTGCAGTACTGTCTAATCGAAATTCTCACCTTGTTATGCAATATCTTGATTGTCTGATGATCTCAGTGATTCTATACAGCTTACTAAGATTTATACATCCCATGAACTATCCTGTAAATCACATAACCTATTCAGTCGAAATTCACATTATGATTTTAAATATCATATATATATATATATATATATATATATACAACTGATAATAAATGATGATTAACATTTATAATAAAAATAATAATAATTTTTTGCTTTATTCCAAAAACAGTACTAATGATACAGCAAGGAATTTTCAGCATTCAGTACAATATTGCATCTAATTTACTCAAAAACGACAAAAAACAAAAAACAAAAATTAAAAATACACATTGCATAACAGTAGTAAAACGATTGTTATAGCAGCTACATATCACATTACTGTATGCCATACGGAGAAAAATATGCATAAAGTACAAAATTGTAGTAATAATAGTAATACCAACTAAAATAAAATAGCAGAGTAACAATTAAACGATAGAAAGTGTGACACCATAAAATACAGAAAGATGAACAATGAAAGGGTCGATTCACTGTGCTAATTACATAGTAACTTGTAAGTTTCACGTCTAACAGAGTCTTCGTCACATAAAGTACGGGCTAAATAGGGTATTGTAGAATTTCTATACTTAGTGGTACGAGCATATAACATTTTATATTGACTTCTCGTCCTACCTGATGAGATACAAGGAGATGGTTGTGAATAAAAGGGTGCAGAGGGTAGGTCTGACAGTACAGCCTTCGCCCATTTTGTACAGGAATTTATATATCTCTCGGTTATAGTATTGGCGAGCTCATGCAGTGGCAGACCACAAGCCTTACTCACAGTGTTTAATACTCTTCGCAATATGATATAGTCTTTTTTGAGAAGCCCAGGAAAGGTTAATGGAGAGCAATAGAGTAAAATAGGTAAAATACAGGAGTTTAAAAGTTGCAAAACTAAAGGTTGATTGATATCTGATTGTCTTAACTTTTTAATGTAGAAGGTAAGACGAAACATTTTCATAGAGATAGATAAGATATGGGATGACCATGAAAGGTCAGAGGAAAGAACTAATCCAAGGTATTTAATGCTTGATTTGGTTTCAATTTCCGTGCCATCTATGCTACAGGGATCATGCGAGCTAACTAGTTCAAGTAAGTCACGTCGATGCTTCAAAGTAAAGTCAAGTTTAGATATGATAGAGAAGGTTTGTAGCTCAGGTGGATAATTTTGATGTGGTTTTGTTCTCTGAGCTGGATAGTTAGTTTGCGAAGCTTTCATCACCTTACTGGGTGACATCTTCAGCGCATACTTCAAATTGAAGTCAATTTGAAGTATGCGCTGAAGATGTCACCCAGTAAGGTGATGAAAGCTTCGCAAACTAACTATCCAGCTCAGAGAACAAAACCACATCAAAAGTAAAGTCAAGTGCCTGACATTTGGAAGGATTTAATATAAGACCATTTGACTTGGACCAGTTGTTGATGTCGAACAGAAAGCTATTAAGTTTGGAGCGGTCAGACTCAGAAGTGATAGGCAGTGATACAGTCAGATCATCTGCATATTTGACAAATTTAGTTTCGTTTGAATGAGGCAGGTCATGTAGGAAGAAAGAAAAAAGAAAAGGAGAGAGGACAGCACCTTGTGGAACACCGGATTTTGTAAGCGAGGTGGAAGAAGATTTGCCATTACGTATACAGTATACTGCATTCTATCAGAAAAATAGGAATGCAACCAAATCTTTGCCCAGGATCCTGTTTGTGTCAACGATAGCTTATTTAACAAAAGGCCCCTAGGTACAGAGTCAAAAGCAGATGTGTAGTCTAAGAAAGCACTACGAACATATTTAGCACCTTTGTCTAAACAAGAGACAACATTGTGATATAAGACAACCGCAGTATCCAAGGTACTTCTACCATGTTTGTATGCAAATTGTTTAGGATCATTAAAAGGTTTCAAAGCGGGTTCAAGACGAAGTAAAAGTAATTTTTCCATCAATTTTAAAAAGGGGGAAGTAATTGCAGTAGGCCGAAATTTAATATCAGAACCAGAAGATGGTTTTGGTATAGGGATAATTTTAATGTTTTTCCATGCAAAAGGTAGAACGTTACCGATAAAAGAAGCATTAAAAATGTTAGTAAGAGGATAATACAAAATACAGTATACTACCTATTACTACTACTGACAAACATGGATTTCAGAACGTGAGATTTTTGTTTACTATTTTGCGTCCCGTGAAGAATTTTCAGTATCGGTGGTATTATTTCTACTGGGTAAGGTTATTAGCCTCACTGCCAACCTTGGATATTTATGGGTTTTACTGCTTCCCGAGCGTTTAGGAGTGCGTCTACCGGGAATCCAACTTTGTACCGTCTCTATGACCGGTGAGCATTTTGCCACCATATCACCGACGTAATGGCGGTATCCATTTAGACTACTACAGTCAGGAAGATGTCAAGTACACAGCAGGAATGGCAGGATAGTAGTTGACTAAAAGCGTATTTGTCAGTCGTTTTGATAAATATCAAGGTGTCATTTGTCTTTGAAAAAGTATTTCTCACCAGGAGTATGTCAGTAATAAAATTAGCGGTCTACCCCCACATTTAATAACGGAACATCCCACAAGTACCCAATGGCAATCAGGACCGCTTGATTAGAAACAAGGATCAGTGAGATTTAGCATGTAGGTTATAAGAAACATCACTGTACGTTAGCAGGGGGATTATATAGTGAGCAGAGGAGTTATTAGATGCTCTTTGACTGTTAGTGATTTTTCAAAATTTCAAACATTGTCAGATTGTAAAGATATGATTGATTCACCACGATTTCTCAAACAATTTTCATCTATAAACAATTGAGCAAAATAAATATTTTTTTTACTACTTCAGGAAACTGTGCAGTGTTATGACCGTGGTAAATTACTGGCGAAAATCAGAATGTTCTACAAAAATTTCTTTGAATCTATACCAATTCGATTTTTAAAGTAAGTTTTTTTTCGGAGAAACATAAATCATCATCAGTTTATGTAATGAATTATTTTGTCAAGAGCTACTCTATAAGCAAACGATACAACTGAATGACAAGTATGCTGAAGAAACAAATCGCGTCTTCCGGTAGGTTGTTTAAATTATCAATGACCTTGAGCGCATGTTATTTTAAACACACAAAATACCACACTTATTTGAATTTAAAATCTTCTTCCCTTATAAAAATTAATTCATAAAAGAAAACTTAAAATGATAACAGAATGTAATGAAATATACAAAACAGAAGAGGAAGAACTTAGAACCAAGGTATATAAATATAGTTTCCATTCAAGATTTGAAATCATTTAAACAAATTTCTATAGTTCAAGGCTAAATTAAGTGAAGCGTCAATGACAGAATATCTATTGAATGAATTCAAGTCGTGTTATGAATATCAAAGAAAACTTTCTGAGGATAGACTGAAAGATATGCAAGACGATAATGAAATGTCGAACTATGTATTGAAAGTTCTTAATTATTACGTAAGTTGGGATATTTTAAACTTTGGTGTATTTTTATGTATAGTCGTATTCCATGTGCAGTTGACAATGCTGGTAGTTATAACTGAGAACACGTTTGATCTGCAGTGTACTAAATTGCATCACACCTATCCTCGGAAACTGATATATGAAGCAGCTGAAGCTGGAACCAACATTTTAAGCCAATGATTCCATAAGTAGAAGATTTTATGTTTCAATATGGAAAAAATCCCCATTTAGACATTTAGAAAACAGAAAGATTGAGCAAGGAAATATTTACTTTTCAATTAGATCCTCATCTCTGGTCTACTCTAATATATATAGCATTTTTATTACAATACACAAAAATTTACCAATCAAGTGGCACTGATATGTTTGTTAATAATAATTAGTCAGTGTCAACATGTCAAGATGACGGGGCATAATTAACAAAGAAAATTAATACACATAATTAAAGGATACAAATGGCTACAACAGTTGGATTGCAAAATGCATAATTTTGGAAAAATAAAGAGTATTAAGGCATAAGCATGTGCTCAAGTTGTTTACGTAACAAATTGTTATAGAAAATAAAACGATTTGGACAATGGTAATATGTAATTAAAGACGAAGTAGTCAGAAAAGCAATTAAATTATTTGGACAACTACAATTTTTAAAGATTTATAGAGAAGGGAGCGAAGTAGTCCGGTTTATACATTCATGTAACGGTGGCCAAGGTAAGGAAAGTGGCTGTACAGATTTATTTTGTTTACACAAGTTTGGCTTCTTCAGGTGGATTTCTATAGCTTCAGCTGTACGTAGAAGACGAAGTCGTAAGGCAAAATTAAGATTAGTTAGATTGCGATAAATAATTTTAAGTGCTGTATTAACATCAGCTTTATTCTCACTATCTACAGGGTGCGCTAAAACAGAGCTATGAATAGATCTTGTTTGTCCCTTGCTTAACCATGCTAGATGATGTTCGGAAATACGATGATGAACCTGCCCAACTGTACGGCTTATGTAGCTGCAGTGATACTGGTAGATACATATAGAGTGGGCAAATTTAGGTAGTTTCTCCTTATTTCTCGAGCGTAAAATGGGGTGGTAGTGAAGAGACAATGTACCTCTGCTGCATTAAAATCTCTTTTAACTGCATTCTTCAGGCACTGTGTTACCATTTCGTTGATTTTGTCACCGAGGAACTGCAGTTTTATGAACGATGGTTTGTTTTGAGCTGTTGCTATAGCAACTCTCCTTCGTGTTAAATTCATACTTTATTCAATGAACTTATCTGGATAACTATTTTTCCTAAGTAATTCTCTGATAAACTTAAGCTTGTCACTGAGGAAGTCGTTTGAACAAATTATCCTAGCACTGTGAACCAGATACTTTACTAAGTTACGTTTATATTTCAAAGGTACAAAACTCAAAATATGAGTGTGCTGACTTGTTGTTGTAAGTTTATTATACATATTCCTTCTTAGTGTGCCATCTTCTTTCCTTGCCATGAAGATGTCTAGGAATGAGATACTGTCATTACTTTATCTTTCTACGGTGAAGTTTATTGCTGAATCGGCATCACTGAACTTGTCGAGGATTTCGATTGTTTCATTCGCGTTTTTCATAACCAGAAATGTATCATCCATATATCGGCAGTCGAACTCCCACTTATTAATTACGCCTTTAAGCTGTCTATTTTCTAGCTTAGCGAAGAAATTTTATTCAACACCCTTCCGCTGATGCGAACAATTAAACTTATTTATTTCATTATTGATGTTTTACGGGTTGATCACGGATTGATATCAGCTAGAGAACCATTGATAACCAGGGAGTACTGGACAGCCGCTGTTTCATCCTAGTTTGGGAATCATCGGCAGTAGACACCCACTGGGATTCGAACCCGGGACCTTCCGGTTACAAGGCAAGCTCGTATACCATTCAGCCACTGGGACCCGATTCAATGGCTCGTGAATTCTAACTTATACTAATTCGTGATTTAGCGCGACCCCAACCATTGTCGTTGGTGGGACATCCATCCACACACGTGACATCTAATTGGACCTCACTGGTCACGACTTCTCACTAGAACTCAGGAAACTCCAACCTGTAGCAAGTCACTAGCGAGCATCAGATTAACTTTCTATAGTTTGGTTTGTAAGGATTAGTTATGTTTTACGAGTTGATCACGGATTGATATCAGTTAGAGAACCATTGAAAACCAGGGAGTACTGGACAGCCGCTGTTTCATCCTAGTTTGGGAATCATCGGCAGTACACACCCACTGGGATTCGAACCCTGGACCTTCCGGTTATTATTATTGATGTGGCACGGTTTTATGTGTGATGTATTTATTAACACCTTTTTTTCGAGAAGATGGATCCATATTTGGGAGACTAGAGGCTGCAGACTATTATGCATTCCCTTAACTTTCTCCTAATGAAATGAAGGCGTATTTTAATCATATGAGTAGTATTCAGAGCAGGATCGATGTACTACCAAGAGTGTGCAGGAGAAGGAATTCGACGTCATCCAGGATATTTCAAGCAAAAACAGATACTGAGAGAAGTTCATAAGGGTCAATACTGGTTATAACAGTAGTAAACATGAACTGGTAGAGGTGGAGGAAAAGTCATTATGTTTACCTCTTCATTTAAGCGGACATATCTTTACGGAAAATAATAAACGGAAGTCTAACCGCAGCAAAGAACTGAACCTTTCACTTTGGGAATCTGTTCCTAGCCTTTAGTGGCTGACGACATTCACCCCAAAAATGAAAGACCGTTTATCTAATCTTAGTTCTTTTTCATGCATATGCCGTTTAAACTGTTACTGTGGTTCAAGTTATGTAAGGTGTACAGTTAGGCGGGTTCGTCTACGAAATTAAAGAACATTTACCAGCTTGATTCGGAAACAGTAAAATTATGTGCATAAAAACTTCACTTCTATGGAACTTGACAGGATATCAAGATAACCTTTGCTTTTTTTAAATTTTGATTATAGCTTGATTCCACACAGTATTTTTGGTACAAGTATAGAATTTTCAGCCTATGATATCGGTGGCCCAAATTTTGCTGGCTGACCATTGATATCAGGTGTGCGTCGGCTGAGGATCAAACTCTGGACCATGCGCATAGTCGGTTAGAGTCCTAAACGTTGTGCCAACGATGCACAGGGTTATAAACCGCATTCTAAAATCACAGTTCGCCTTCACTTTTTACATACAGCTGAAAGTGTTGCGATACGTTTGACTAAACCAGAGCTTTGTCCTCAAAACAGTGCGTTCTGGCGTTCTTCTTGCTGTTCCCAAACTTGGATGAAAAGTTCTTCCATTCCCTATATAAGTATGAGGAAGCACTTTCAGGGGATCTGAAAGATGACAAGTAGTGAGCAGCTTTCGGCACCAAAAATCTTTAGCTATTCCTTTTTGCTTCTTGAAGATTCCAACCAGAAAGTCCGCAACCTCATACTAGACTCAAATCAACTAGCGAAGACAATATAAATTGATGCTACAATTTTCCAATCCTACGTCAGCTAACGTTTTTCGTCAAATAAGGTGATGACTGGGTATGCGGTACACACGTTCTAGCCATCATCACAACCTGATCGATTGATTTCGCCTTAGTATCGGATATTGTACATTTAGTCTCATTCTTACATACCATATTGTATCATCTAACACTGCAGGTAGAAAGTAAATGCCTGTGTTGGAAGACGGCCAGTGACTTCAAATTCACGACTTTCAATAACCAAAACCCACACTATAATTGTAGAGGATATTTCTGTTTAAATATTTAATATAATGACTTGGAATACAATACCTATGGCTCCCTATTTTATACAATATTCATACAGTCTATTGCTTATATTCCGTTGTATTTTTGAAAAAAAAATCAATTTAGATTTTTACTCAGCTGTCAAATATTGAAGAATTGAATCTTTCAAATTTAGCTCAAGCTTGTTTTAATTTACAACAAGTTATTGAAATATGGGGATTTATTGGTATCTGGTTTGTACAATGCTTACAATTATACGATACTATAATAATAAATAAAATCGATAAATTGATACAGAATGATTGGTTCAGACTTATTGAATCTGTTGAAAAGCAACTTGATATTCGTGATAAAGAATGCAGAATGTATGTACACGAATTAGAAGCAACAATGAAGAGTTTAGATGAATATGGTAAAACTAACAGGTAGGAAAGTATTGTAGTAATTTTTGAATGACAACTTTTCACATTTAATGCATTTATAAGTGATTAATCTTTACTAACTAGTGTCAACAGAGTAAACACTAGCCATCAATTTCTGCTCTGGAGTTCAGCGTTCCGTGTTTCCAAACTGATACCTATTCGCTGAAAGTCTGGCCACTAACTGATGTTAGTTAGAGAACCACTGAAACCAGGAAGTATTGGAAAGCAGCTTGCTTCAAATTTGGGACTCATTAACAGTACGCACCTAGCTAATTTCAAACTCAGGACCTTCCGGATACAAGTCGAGCTGGTAGACCATTTATCTCCTGGGACCCTGTCCAGTGCCCAAGCAATTTCGACTTTTACCAATTCATGATTTTGGCGTGACCCCCAGACAATGCCATCTACGAGTATTTATCCTAACGCCAGAGTTGGGGTACCCTATTGATCACGACATCTAACTAAAACTTCAAGCGACTTCGTCCTATGGCAAGTGAATACTGAGCACCCCATTATTTTGAAGAGCTTGTTTGTAAGAATTTGATTTGTACCAGTGACTGAGTTGTCTACGAGATAGTTATATGATCGGAAGGCCCTCAGCTCGAACCCCGGTGGTCACCTACTATTGAAGAGTTCCAAAACAGAACGAAACAGCTGTCCAATACTTTCTGGTTTCCACTGGTTGTCTAGCTGACATCATTCCTTGATCAGAAGTGAAACAAATGCAATCCATTCGAAGTAACTATTGATACCCTTTAATCATATAATACTACCACCACCTTGTAAAAGTGATAAAGCCACCACTAGTGAAACTTTTAAACTTGAAGCCTTGTGTTCACTCTGGAACACAAAATCATGAAATACGAAAAAAATTGTAGTAGTGAGAGGGAATACCGTCTTTTAAATAGAAAAATAGTTGCTGATTTGAAGGTTTACGTAACCATATTCTACAGAGTTATTTAGAATGATGCAAATTAGAGGACTTTATGGATTTCGACTCTCAGTCATTTAATTTGCATTGGTGATGATGATGATGTCTGGAATGATGTCAGAACTTTTGACTGACTTTTCGCAGTTGGTCCCAAAAGATAGAAACTTCAGGTTTAGGCAAGTGTGATACTTTACATTACCATGATTAATATTATTATTCCCTTCGATTCCTAGTAGAACATTGGGCATCAACAGTAAATTTCATTTTCATCCTGTACCCTGAAGTCTTTCTCAGGTGGCTTGACAATTTCTCATGAGCTTTGACCTCCCACTTACACAACCTCCTTTATGTTACTCTCGGACTGATGACGAATTCTTCGCTTTCCATTTGTTCCACTCGAGGTCACGCCTTGTACTTGAATTCGGTTAACGATCTCCTTAGTGTATCTCCAATCCACCGTAATTTTGTTCAACATATTGTTTTGGTAATAGGTTCCTGATTGGTTTGTTCCAAGAATTTCGTGTTGTTAATTCTTTCTGCCTGGCCATCTCATCTTCAATATGGAACGAAGGCAGCCTGTTGTGTGTAAATGCTTTTGAAAACACGCCAAGTTTCTGACTCATATAGAACAGTTGACCTAAAATTTGTGTCGAGAATCCGAATGTTTTCTTTATGCTGAATGCACAAGGTTTCCAGTCTGATTTCAGAGTGATGAAGGTCTGCTTTATCTTTCTAATCCTAGGTTTGACATCTTCGTCCATGTTGGCTGTAGAAGCAACAGTGTTGCCTACATAAGTGGAAGAAGGGATTTCCTTCAGATTCGTTCCGCCGATAGGGACTGCTGCTTGTTGTTGTTGTTGTTGTTGTTGTCGGTCGGTTATCTCCATCACCTATGCCTTCTATATGTTCAGTTTAAAGTATGAACTTTGATGTACCTTCCGCCAACTTGATGATTGTCAACTGTACGTCTTAGAGCTTGCTTGACATTAGATATAAATCACCGTCAAATTCCAGATCTTCTAAAGTCTTTTATCGGTTGAACATCTTCCTGTCTTCTTGCTTTGCACGATCCACAACATAATGCAATCAACCACAATCACAAGCACCACTGGTGAAACTTGTCAGGCTTGTCTTATTCCGGTCTTCATTTCAAAAGCTTATCTGAGTTTTCGTTGTACTTACTATGATTTACTAGTAATATGCCTCTTCAAATAAATTAAAACTCGGACCGCCGAGTAATAAAGTCTTCAAATGGAGAAGTTAAAGTCACCTCACACTACAAGTGTATTGGATCGATTAATTCACAATTTGAAGAATAATTCACTAAATAACCCACTCGAAAATTTTCTGATCTCAGTATTTATTAAGTCATGAAAACTTCGAAAACCTGAAAGTAACGCTTATGACATTTGAAAACAAACATGAAATTAAAGACCAAAGATGTCATCAAAAACAATGAAAAAAGGAGTAGCGAGGTCTTTTCTCTTTTCGAATCGATTTCTAGAAATTGATGACCTAGTAAAACTAATGTGAGTCATTCTAAATTTGTTCACAACCAAAGAAAATTTCAACTTCAACTTTAAAACACTCTAAATAACTTCGTAATGTGGTAAAGCTAGTCTTAGTATGAGTGAATGTTTTCTGTGAAGTAGAGGAGACCAATGAGTATGCTCGAAAAAGTGTTTTGTGCCAAACAATTCATCAGCCTCACTGCTGCTAGTATTTTGATCTGTGACTTATACAAATTACTACCTACTACTTATATGTTTGTAAGTAGTAAAAAACAGAATCCTTTTTTTCATCCCGCATTTTAATACGTTGCATTTTAGTTCAATGGATACAAGAAGTCAAGTGAAATTTCTATCAGAATCATTGTCTAATCTATTAAAAGTAAGTTAAATATAGCGAAATTTTTCTTCAGTGTGAATTTCTTCACTAACCAACGTCAGTTGGAAAAATTGTTGGAAATCAAGGGCCATTGGACAGCTATTTCATCCTAATTTAGAGCTATTCATCAGTACAAATCCATGACCCTACAGCATCCAATATCTGAATATCACTTTTCATCTTATCAGGGCCTAATGTACAGCTCTAGTGAGAAGTCATGCTCAGAGAGGTCCACCCCGTCAGTGTGAAGCAAATGCGGTAACTCCATACTATGAATTGACAGGGGTTAAAATTCACTGGTCATTCTTTTCAAGCCTAATATATGAGTAGGCTGATCTCATAACGTAAAGTTCCTGGGTTAAAACAGTGGAGTAATGGGTCATTACTGGTGAAATGTTCCTGACTACGATAAAATAACCGTCCAGTACTCCTTTTTTTCAGTGATATTCCAAGTTATGTTGATGTGCAACAAAATAGCCTGAATTCCTACAGAAGCTGAAATCTAAAGAATATTTCATCTTTTTGTGCAGTATGTCATAATATATAGATGAAAACTGCTGGTTTAAAACCCTATTCTGAATAAATCGTGAGTTGATTAGTTGAATTCTTAGTTGTTTGAATTTCACAACCATTAAATGATAATATTTGGCTTAGAATAGTTATTATTAAATGGTTGGAGGAGATCAACACGAAACCCTACACCTACATTTCGTGTTAGTTTTGCACTCATCAGCATGCCGTATCTGCAATTTCGAAGGAGTTTGGGTCTTAGATGCACCTTGCTGATAAGTGCCAAATAACATGAAACCTATGTCCACGACTTTCTGCCTACTGCCTCCTACGAACTAGTAACAACAATTCTGGTGGCCACATTGCAAATATAATTGACAGAATTCAATTCGTATAAAGTGAAGGACTAAATAATGTCCGATAAAAGATAGTATAAAAACTAATTTTCCAGGCTTATCACAGCAGTTCAGTGGCTGAATACTATCCAACTTGGTCAAGGGGTTCCATTTCGGGTTAAGGTAGTCCTAAACCTCTCTTAGACGATAATAAGTTCAATGATGATGGGAAGTTGTGTTCAAGGCTAGTAACTCACCTCGATTAAAAAAAAACACTATTTCTACTGAAAATTCAAAGATCCAGTCTGAAATCATATGTTCCAAATGGAATATAAATGAATGAAAAGATAACAGAAAAAAAATACCAGAGTACATTAATTAAGGTTAAAGTGAATTTCATCAAAAACTGGTCCTTTGACTGTTAAGTTAAGTAGGCGTTTCTCATAGGTAATCTAACTGTCTAACCTTTATTTATTTATAGAGATTTCTCACAGTTTATTTCGATCTCAAAATAGAATGATATAAACGCAAAACTATTATTACCCATCTGGGCAGCATCTACAGAGTGAACTTCAGAATGAATCCAACTTCATGAATGAAAATATTGCATTTTCTGACGACTTCGACTGTGATTAGTTGTTTTTGAAGAAATTTTCCTATAAAAAAATCACTTGCCTTCAATTGTTGGTTTGCAAGGATTTAGTCGGTTTCAAGTTAGATCAAGGAGTGGTGTCATTTAGTGAACCACTGTAAACCAGGGATCACACGTGCGTACTGCTAGAGAATATTAAACCAGTACGAAACGGCTGTTCAGTAATCCCTGGTTTCCAATAGTTTCCTAACTGATATCATTCGGTGATCTGACATCAAATTCACTTGTAATGATTATTTCGGTGACCTGATATTTGACCTTTTTGTTGTATGACTTATTCTTTCTTTCTACTCTAACTCATTTGTACTGAGAGGCGGCATATCTGCACAGACAGAGCATTTCTGTCCAATAAAATCACTCAGTGATCTTTCTAAGTGATGTTAATTCTTGGTGAAAATCTAACAATCGAAAATATTTTCTTTAAATTCCCTTAAATTTTGTCGAAATGACTCCTTTATTCATAATTTTATGCATTTATCACAGTTTGATTTGATAACTTTTTGTTTGTCTAATTTGCTTCTCCTCAAGGTCGCTAATTCATGCTTAGATATGTTCAATGGTGAATGTGTATTAAATATTGAAGATAATTTGAAAACAATTGAACAGATTCACAACCAGTGGTTTGAATTACTTTTCCAATCATCTCATTATGCTGAATTAATGATGACTAAACAGTCAACAAATTATGAACAAGAAGTAACTGTTCACTTACAAAAGGTAATACAAGACATTAAAAAATTACTTGTGAAAGAAATTTCGATAATATAACTAATAGTTGAATTATGCAAAGTAGCATCACATAGGCAGAAGGCTGGTGTTTGGTATTTGTCGACGTAGGTGTGATACGACGCCATCTGTCAAAGGCTGTCTACCACACAGCAGCTCACTACGTCCTATTTTACAGGTGTGTGACATGACATTTGAGAGTGAGAGATATGAGGAGACTATCTACTTATGACAGTATGTGTTGGCATTCTATCTGTCATATGAAGCTCCATTGATTGGGGTGACTAGGGCATGTGTTACACGTGCGTAGCCACCGGCTTCTTCGTTGAGTAATGTTAGCTGAAATAAAGATAAGTTGGAAAAGAGTTAGAAGTGGTCAAAATGAAACACGGTGTCGACCTATTAGGTGTTTTACAGTTGGTTCTTAACTATTTGGGGAGGTGTAGATCCCCCTGGTTGCAATCTCCAAGATGCTAATAACCAGTTTTTGCTGAAAAGATAAGGATTTGTTTTTTAGGGCGCGTGTATTTGATTTTAGTGATCGCCAACATTGATTAAATTTTCCCGATTCTTCATAAAACTATTTTTATCTTATATATATAATCTTTCTTACAGTCCCATTTATCAGAGTTCATTCTGAATTTTTATTATTTACCTTTGTGTACTATGGACATATTTATCTATGAATAAAAAGTCACTAGATTATTACATCACCCCATATTGACATTCAGTATCTAAAATGTACAAAAATCTATACGTATATGTACTGGATGAGCCTGTGGATGAACGGTAGAATACTTGGAAGCCATACAAATAGTCTGGATCCGATTCCTGGCCGACGAACTCTTAAATTTCGCCTATTTTACTATCGGTAATTAGTAAACCCGGAAGATAGGAAAGGCTGAGAGTCAGACTGCCAACTCCATCCCGTAAAAACAATAATGCCTTCGCTACTGGAGCTTCAAAAGCTTGCAGTCCAAAATCCCACTCAGAACAGAAGAATTGAAAAGAAGAACTGAATAATAGCCAATGTGATTAGTCTTCAAAGACTTAATAATAAGCCAAATTTGTCTTTGACAGAGTTCAAGTGCAGTTGTAATAGGATAATATATATAATAATATCAGCTTTTTTAAAATTATATCGTCAGGAAGTCTTATATCATTTTGAATGGACCGCAGTGTCTTGTCTGTGTTGTCTTGTTGGCAGCTTCCAATGCAAACCCTTTATTGATATCATAATAGATATTGACATGATGTTAAGTGATAGGCGGTGAAAAGCAATGAAATCAAGCTAAAGTTATCTACTGAATGAATGTTTGACGTTTAAAACCACGCATGGGAGTTGGGTTCGAATCTCAGTTGGAACACAATCACTCAATAAGGAGAGCAGAAACATCTACCTGACGAGTCTTAAATTGGACGAAACATGCCTTCTAGATTCCACTGTTAGCCATCACCAGCCAAAAACGTCACAGCGTTTATGCTTATCTGGATTCCAGTGGAAAGTAATTTTTGTCGGTGTTCCTAACGGTAATGTTGTGTTTCTACATAAACTCAGTCGAAAGGTGATGGATCATAATATGTTTGTTGTGTGATTTGATTATTCTAAACTCGACATCGTATTATAATGAATACATACAGTAAAGTATGTTTCTGTCAGTAAAGAAAAGTGATATTTGACTCTAATTTTTGTTTCGTTACTTCTAACCAGTGCTAAGTATTCAAGTATTGGTTTGTAGGCATTTGGTTGATTGGTTACAGGACTTCATCATGAGCTGACATTGGTTAGAGAACTACTGGAAAACCTGGGAGTACCGGACAGGTGTTTCGTCATAGTTTTGGGACTCTTCAGCAATACGTGCCCACCGGAGTTCGAACCCAGGACCCTCTGGTTACAAGACAAGCTCGTGGACCATTAAGCTACTGGGACCGGAACCAATGGCCCAGGCTCCCAGGTTTTCCAACGGTTCTCTAACCAATGTTAGCTCATGATGAAATCTTGTAAAGCTAAATAGTTCCTCATGATGGCAAACAGACATTCCTTCATTCTTAAAAATATTTCTCGGCGACAAGTAGCACATTCCTCTATATTTCACAATACACTCTTTTGAGGTAGCAAACTGGGACCATAAGATATTCCATTATGAGTGAAACAGTTAAGTACTAAAGGCCTCAAACATTCATGTGCGTCGGTGGCACAGTGGTTAGGATTCTCGCCGACCATGCACATTGTCCGAGGTTCGATCCCCTACCGACGCACACCTGATATCTATGTTCGGCCTGCAAAATTTGGGCTTCCGATATCACAAGCTGAAGATTCCATACCTTTACCTAAAAATGATGTGTGGAATCAAGCTATAATCAACAACTAAGGTTGTCGTATAACATATATAAACTAGAATTACAGTCTTGATCTCTAGCTGGTATCACATTTGGAGAACGATTAGAAAACCAGCGGGCACTTGTTAGCTGCTGCATTCTAGCCTAGGACTCTTCGTCAGTATGCGTCTAATAGATTCCGTACACGGGATCTCCAAGCTTCGAGGCAAGGTTGCAGACTATTCAGCCATTGGGATGAAGTCAGGCAGTCTATGAACCCCAAAATCTGTAGATTTGCGATACATAGCACGAACGCCAACCACTGTCGTCGGCGAGTAACTGTTCTCTCACCTGTCTTAGTCGATCCCACTTCTTACAACTTAGACTCCATGAACTATCGAAATTCGGTTCCAGTGACAGAATTGTTAACGGGCTCACCCTGTAACCTGAAGGGTTTGGTTTCAATGCCGTTAGGGTTATAGATGCCTGCTGCAGTCCAATGTACTCCCTAGTTTCTAATATTTCTCAGCTAATATCAATCCCTAATGTGTCTGCTGTAACATATCCTATATCTAAAGCTTATTTCTACCTGTGTTATAATAGACTGTTAATTTTTCATACTGTAGGAACTTCAGAGAATACTTAGGGATTATCGAATTCGATTACAAGGTGAAAATGGAATTGTCCAACATTTGGCGAAATTAATTCGAAGTATCGAAGATTATGCACAAAGTCGACAATTAAGTGTTACAACAGAAGATGATGAGAATTCAGACAGTTATAAAGTCGAATTATTCAGCGAAAAATTATGGCAAAATATTCAACACTATAGCTATTGGGCTGACACAATTAAACAGATTTTGACGTGCGTTGGTAAAACAAATAATTGCCTAATATCGTCATCAAAACAAATTCATCAGTCGAATTCAGTAAATGACGAATTTCATGAAAAAAATGATGAAAGCAGTGAGCGGACATCTTTGTTTGATGAGTAGGTTAATGAATATTTACTTATGGTGAACAGTTTTGGCAGGTAGATTATTTTTTCCTTCACGTCCCCAGTGGAATATAGAGCCTCAAGCTAGTGGGTTGAAGTTTCTGTAGCAGTGTTTAATTTTATAGGGTGGGGTTGCTAGCCTCATGCCCAACCTTTCTCATTACCAGCATTATTTCTGACTTAGCGAGGTAAAGGACTGTCTTGTCGGCTCGGGATCGAACCCCGGACCATGTGCATGGTCGGCGAGCGTCCTAACCGCTGTGCCACCGACGTCTATGTGGCAGGCAGATGGTTTTTATTTTTTATAGATTAGGCGAATGTCAGTTTTTGGGCCAGGAACCATCTAAAAGGCGTATGTCTGGATCCTAAACATAAATCATCCAGACAAATTCCGACCATCACATGTAGTTTAACTAATGTGGAACACTTTTTTCACTCCTTGTTATCTTCATGGAACACATCCCTTTGGACACTCTAGGTTTAGTAGTAGTAGTAGTAGTAGTGGTGTAGTTTTTGCGGAGTGAATTCGGGAGAATCATGACCGCTCTTCCATCTTTGTCTGGATTACTCACTCTCCTAATAATGTTGAAGAGATGTATACTGTTCATCTATCCTCCATGACACTCTCCACACTACACAAACAAGCCTTATTTCTCAAAATTAAATTCTGAATCATATCATCGTTATTATTTTACAATCATTCTTATTGTCATAATTTTCAACCTTGAACTTATGTCTAGACCACCCCATTCATATTGTCTCACATACCCTGAGTACAGTCACTCTCGAAAACTGTATTTTCTGTTGACTATATATATATATATATATATATATATATATATATATATATATATATATATTCACTTCATCTCATTTTGTCCCATGTTCTCATTGACCATGCATATTAAAAAAACTATATGACTATATGACTATTGTTTCATCCCATCTAATACTTGTTCCACAATACACTTTCTGATATGATTCTAATTTGCCTTTACTGGCTAGCTATTGTATGCTTAAATTAATGGATTTATAATTGTAGAGCCTGAAGAAGAATTTATTGAAACCACAACTGTTCGCTCTAAATATTTTGTCTGAATAAATTATGGGAATATTCAATTTATAGATTCAGGCACAATTTGAAAATCTATATGAATAAATAAAGTTTCCTCTTTTCTTTTCTCCTGACCACAAAGTTTGATTGAAAGCTAAGTTAGTTGATATTGTTCATGAATTCTGCAACGGTTGTATAGTGCAAAAAATTATCTTTCACAGCTGAACATATCTGAAGCTCCAAACAAACTGAAGAAAAGTACTGATATCATTATTCTCAGACCAGATAAAGGTTCTAATCTAGTCAAAATGAACAGAAATAAATACTAAAGTAAGCAGTTATGCATCCAGGAAAATGAGAGCAAATTTAGCAGAGACACTTTCTCAGAAAATGCGAAGATTTTATACAGTGAGGTGAATGATAATCCAGTGAAACTATTGAGTATGAATGTGTTGAATAATGAGGATCTCGTTGCACTGTTAACCCACTGAATTTCGATTGCCACACATGTATGGTCTGTCGAAAAACAACAAACCTAACATTCCTCTTCGCTCCATAATATCTGTGAATTTCTTCTAAGAAATACGGAGCGATAATCCGAACTGACTAATATCAGTAAAAAGTTTGAGCATTGTGGATTAGGTCAAATAAAGTATAATTATATTTCAATAGTTTACACACAATGATAAGTTTTGTGTTTTGGTAATATTTCGAGCAAAATTACCAATAACAAAACTTATCATTGTGTGTAAACTATTGAAATATATTTATACTTTATTTGATTAATAATTTTCAACCACACGTTGAGTGACGCGTAAAATCCAAAAACACGGGATTTGTTTTGAACACGGTACTATATCATGCATGAAATAATGAAATATTATATAAAGACCTCAGTTTGTGGGGTATCTGTGGCTGAACACCATTGAGAGCGTAGTCGGTCTGTATCAATAAGAAAAACAGCCAAGCTGCGTCAACGTGTAGATTTGAACAGAGAGCCAGTGTAAGACAAAGCACGAAGGGATTCAGATGTTTAACAGAGAAGAGTATATAAATAAGGCATATACAGCAGGAAATGTTTAACTACACGGCAATAATTACTATATATGTCGGATAGAGTATTAATACATAAGGTAAGTTAAACTTTGATGGCAAACAAAAGTTATGGTTATGAAGTAATATTTACCGTACTACTTACTATTGGTAAGTAGTATAAAATTTAACACAAAAGAAGAAGTAACAGAGGACAGACAAAGAATTAACAATATCCTTTTGAAGACATCCTATCCATAAGCTTGCTAAGCGTTTAATGGAAATATCGTAACCTATTAGAAGAGGTTTCTTTAAGTTTTCTTCAAAAGACGCCTTTCGACCTCATGGAATTTCTTCATAACAAAGGACAGGACCATATTCTCCCTTGATGTAGATTCTTACAAGTGTACTATTGTTACCGAGAAATTGGTATTTTTTGTCATTACATTTGAAACAGCAATTTCCTATCGTCATTTTCAATCCCTTATTTGAAAGAGCTGCTTCTTTTATGTACTTTCAGTATTAGATCTGCGTTTGAGATTGAGCGTTTCCGCCAGACTGATGGTGTTCCCATGGGACATCCCTTAAGTCCATTCTTCGCTGAAATATATAGATGTCACACACTAAGAACCTAACTGGTAATTATTTTGAGAAGTTTATATTTGTAAGAAGTACTTGGATGATATCACACGTATATGTGACAAGATGACAAATGTCATAGAATCACTTAGGCAAGTGAATACAGTGTAAAATAGTACATTTTTAACACACATGAAAGAAAAAAATAAGTATAGTTGAATTTTAGATTTTCCCCGTCGATGGATTGGATCGAATGTCTCGGTGTCAGGTTGACATGTCTGTTGGCTTGTTGTGCAGATGCTTCGACAATCTCTGGTCATTTGATTGCAATTTAATTGGTGGATGACTACTAGCAGTGGTATCCAGGATAAAGCGCATTTCGTCTTATTTGGGACTCGCTATCTGGATGTGCCTGCATTTCCCAGTGAGTGATGATGTTCCACTGAAACTCGAACCTAATGCTTATAGTTTCAAACGCCAAAGCGGGAAAAATCTAAAATTCAACTAAATTAATATGACTTATTGCACAGGGGGTAGGTCTCGTTGCCTAAGTGGTCTAGTGGATAACGCTTTGGCGTTTGAAACTATGGAAATTGGGTTCAAGCCCCAGTGGGGACATCATCACTCAGTGAGGAATGCAGGCACATCCAACTGACGAGTCCCAAATATGAGGAAATGCGCTTTATCCTGCATTCCACTGGTGGTCACCATCCATTAATTGAAAAAAAAGTAAGTACTTGCCAATTTTAGATGTACTCATAACTAGCTGACAAGACTGGTCAGAAAGATGATCTGTCCAGAAAAAGTCTATTTGTATGTTCAAACATTCTTTGTTGTTAATCTGGTTCTGTCATGATAATCTAGTTTTAGAATCAAAGTTGTTTTTACTTAATAATATTTTCATCCTTCAATTTTTTTGGCTAATTTCCCACCAATTATCTGTAAATATTTTAACCTCTATTGATAAAATTTGGATCTTTTATGCTGCATTGACTAATATATAAATATTTAATACAAGTAAGTGTGTGATCACAATGTTCGAAATCTATTGCGCAAATAAATTGCTCATTTCAGACAAATGACTTTTCAAAGAGTTAACAACCAGTGGGAGTTCAGATTTCATGCGTCATGAATGCGCAAAAACACTAACAGAGAGTTTTCGTAAGATTATAGGCTGATGTCAGGCGAAAAATATTAGAGAAGGAGGACACAACCAACACAGAGATTCTTAGACTTGAACATTTAACGCTTTCTTTTGTTTAAAATGATTTTGATTTAACATTTTTTAAAGTTGCAAACTATTAACATTAGTCTATGACAATCCCTTTCTAAAAAAATTCATTTTTAACCCTTTTAGGTCTGACAAATTTACGGATATAATTGATTTAAATTTATCTAAATGTCATCAACATGTTAAAGGGTGGTTTGAATTAATGAAGAACAGAGTGATAAGTGTTGGAAAAATGAGAATTGATCAAATAAAAACTGAACAAGTGAATACAATACAAGAATTAAATAAACTTGTCACAAATAATTATACCTTTGAAGTAAAGAAACAAGAAAATAATGCAAATAAACAAAATAATCAAGTGAACAAAAGCTGCCAACAGGAAAAGAAAGACTTTTATGAGTTAACAATGACGTTAATCGAGTAAGTGGTAGTAGTAGTAGTAGTAGTAGTAGTAGTAGTAGTAGTAGTAGTAGTAGTAGTAGTAGTAGTAGTAGTAGTAGTAGTAGTAGTAGTAGTAGTAGTAGTAGTAGTAGTAGTAGTAGTAGTAGTAGTAGTAGTAGTAGTAGTAGTAGTAGTAGTAGTAGTAGTAGTAGTAGTAGTAGTAGTAGTAGTAGTAGTAGTAGTAGTAGTAGTAGTAGTAGTAGTAGTAGTAGTAGTAGTAGTAGTAGTAGTAGTAGTAGTAGTAGTAGTAGTAGTAGTAGTAGTAGTAGTAGTAGTAGTAGTAGTAGTAGTAGTAGTAGTAGTAGTAGTAGTAGTAGTAGTAGTAGTAGTAGTAGTAGTAGTAGTAGTAGTAGTAGTAGTAGTAGTAGTAGTAGTAGTAGTAGTAGTAGTAGTAGTAGTAGTAGTAGTAGTAGTAGTAGTAGTAGTAGTAGTAGTAGTAGTAGTAGTAGTAGTAGTAGTAGTAGTAGTAGTAGTAGTAGTAGTAGTAGTAGTAGTAGTAGTAGTAGTAGTAGTAGTAGTAGTAGTAGTAGTAGTAGTAGTAGTAGTAGTAGTAGTAGTAGTAGTAGTAGTAGTAGTAGTAGTAGTAGTAGTAGTAGTAGTAGTAGTAGTAGTAGTAGTAGTAGTAGTAGTAGTAGTAGTAGTAGTAGTAGTAGTAGTAGTAGTAGTAGTAGTAGTAGTAGTAGTAGTAGTAGTAGTAGTAGTAGTAGTAGTAGTAGTAGTAGTAGTAGTAGTAGTAGTAGTAGTAGTAGTAGTAGTAGTAGTAGTAGTAGTAGTAGTAGTAGTAGTAGTAGTAGTAGTAGTAGTAGTAGTAGTAGTAGTAGTAGTAGTAGTAGTAGTAGTAGTAGTAGTAGTAGTAGTAGTAGTAGTAGTAGTAGTAGTAGTAGTAGTAGTAGTAGTAGTAGTAGTAGTAGTAGTAGTAGTAGTAGTAGTAGTAGTAGTAGTAGTAGTAGTAGTAGTAGTAGTAGTAGTAGTAGTAGTAGTAGTAGTAGTAGTAGTAGTAGTAGTAGTAGTAGTAGTAGTAGTAGTAGTAGTAGTAGTAGTAGTAGTAGTAGTAGTAGTAGTAGTAGTAGTAGTAGTAGTAGTAGTAGTAGTAGTAGTAGTAGTAGTAGTAGTAGTAGTAGTAGTAGTAGTAGTAGTAGTAGTAGTAGTAGTAGTAGTAGTAGTAGTAGTAGTAGTAGTAGTAGTAGTAGTAGTAGTAGTAGTAGTAGTAGTAGTAGTAGTAGTAGTAGTAGTAGTAGTAGTAGTAGTAGTAGTAGTAGTAGTAGTAGTAGTAGTAGTAGTAGTAGTAGTAGTAGTAGTAGTAGTAGTAGTAGTAGTAGTAGTAGTAGTAGTAGTAGTAGTAGTAGTAGTAGTAGTAGTAGTAGTAGTAGTAGTAGTAGTAGTAGTAGTAGTAGTAGTAGTAGTAGTAGTAGTAGTAGTAGTAGTAGTAGTAGTAGTAGTAGTAGTAGTAGTAGTAGTAGTAGTAGTAGTAGTAGTAGTAGTAGTAGTAGTAGTAGTAGTAGTAGTAGTAGTAGTAGTAGTAGTAGTAGTAGTAGTAGTAGTAGTAGTAGTAGTAGTAGTAGTAGTAGTAGTAGTAGTAGTAGTAGTAGTAGTAGTAGTAGTAGTAGTAGTAGTAGTAGTAGTAGTAGTAGTAGTAGTAGTAGTAGTAGTAGTAGTAGTAGTAGTAGTAGTAGTAGTAGTAGTAGTAGTAGTAGTAGTAGTAGTAGTAGTAGTAGTAGTAGTAGTAGTAGTAGTAGTAGTAGTAGTAGTAGTAGTAGTAGTAGTAGTAGTAGTAGTAGTAGTAGTAGTAGTAGTAGTAGTAGTAGTAGTAGTAGTAGTAGTAGTAGTAGTAGTAGTAGTAGTAGTAGTAGTAGTAGTAGTAGTAGTAGTAGTAGTAGTAGTAGTAGTAGTAGTAGTAGTAGTAGTAGTAGTAGTAGTAGTAGTAGTAGTAGTAGTAGTAGTAGTAGTAGTAGTAGTAGTAGTAGTAGTAGTAGTAGTAGTAGTAGTAGTAGTAGTAGTAGTAGTAGTAGTAGTAGTAGTAGTAGTAGTAGTAGTAGTAGTAGTAGTAGTAGTAGTAGTAGTAGTAGTAGTAGTAGTAGTAGTAGTAGTAGTAGTAGTAGTAGTAGTAGTAGTAGTAGTAGTAGTAGTAGTAGTAGTAGTAGTAGTAGTAGTAGTAGTAGTAGTAGTAGTAGTAGTAGTAGTAGTAGTAGTAGTAGTAGTAGTAGTAGTAGTAGTAGTAGTAGTAGTAGTAGTAGTAGTAGTAGTAGTAGTAGTAGTAGTAGTAGTAGTAGTAGTAGTAGTAGTAGTAGTAGTAGTAGTAGTAGTAGTAGTAGTAGTAGTAGTAGTAGTAGTAGTAGTAGTAGTAGTAGTAGTAGTAGTAATACATTAGAAATTATTTAAATTAATCCCAGCCTGTTTAAGAACAAAATCAAAACAAGATCTGTTTCCTGAACGTTTCGCTGTGTAAGCCACAGCTTCTTCAGCAGCAGATTTATTCGGATTTTTATTAATCATCAAAATATATATAATTGTTATGTACTCGTCGCCAAATTATTGTTATGTACTGGTCGAGAATTTAATAGTCCTGACGCAAGAAAGACGGAAATCAGAAGACCACTAGGTTTGCGATGATACTTCTATTTTCCAAACACAAGGAGAATCAATATGTATCACACAATAGTGTGAGAGCAAAATATATATGAATGTCCAAACAAGTGTGTGAACAGTCAATAGACAGTCTTAACATGATTGGCTAATTATAATGGAGTATTGATCCATATATACATAGCAAAATATAGCAGACATGTCAACAAGCACACATATTATATGGATGCATATCACCAAGAACAGACTGTCAACAAACACACATATTATATATACTATAAGGGGAATATACATTGTTAAAGGAGACAGGTTTATCAAAGTAAAATGGTCACAGACTAAGCGAGCAAACAGAAAGAGAGACCACCATACACATATATATATATATATATATATATATATATATATATATATATAAATATGGATACACATTGATAACAGAGCTAGAAACATTATTACAACAGATAATGATGATATAGAGAATGAGATATCCAATATAAAACAGATTTTGATTGGAAATGATTATCCGGAAAAGCTACTAGATAATATTATCAATAAAAACGAGCATTAGGGAATACAAAAAATTGAAAAATCTTGGCTATCGACGACAGCCATTCCATATCGAAAGGAAATGGCTGAACATCTTCAAAGACTGTTTGCTTCATATAATATTAAAGTTTATTTCAAGTCCTCTAATTCTTTAGAGAAAGCGCTGGTGCATGTCCAAGATATGGTTCCCAGAATGTCACAAAGTAATTGTGTCTACAGGATAAAGTGTTCAGAATGTGGAGCTTGCTAAATAGGGAGAGAAGTAGGCAGGTGAAGGTCAGAGTGAATGAACACAGACTGTGCACAAAACGTCCACCTAGAAATGAATTAGAATTAAAAAGTCTAGAAAAAAGATCAGCTATAGCAATGCATGCGATAGACAGCGGACATAAGATTGATTTCGACAATGTCGAAATTCTTGGAAGAGGATTTCATTCGCCTAAAGAAAGATTGATGTTGTAATTATTTGTAATAGTAGTATTAGTATTTCGAGATGACAGAATTAAAAGAATTCAACCAAAACACAGAGAGGGATGAATTTAGGAATTTGTATTTGGCGGAATTATCATTCATTTCATATAAGAAATATATTAACAAGCAACAGTAAGTATTTAAACAATACAGAGATAGAAATTGTCAATCACCACAATTGACTTCTGAAGCCTTGCACATTTTAACCACGTCGAATGCAGTGAATAGGAAAGAAGGGATAGACTTATCACCTATATGGCAAGCTCTTATGAAGCAAGACAGATGAAAAACAATAAACACTCTATGAGCCTCCATGATCTTTTAAAACATGTAGTAACATGCTTATCACATGTGAATTCACGTATTTCCCATATGACAAATAACATACATGCACACACACACGTCATACAAAACTAATCTTTACAAATCAACTAGAGAAAAATATACACAATAAAAATTTAACATTAGTCATTACAAATATGTGATGACTGCTTTCATATTTCTATTGTTAAAAATGCCCATGGTCAAATGACCTACAAATAAACTGACTTCAATTTTGATGATTAATAAAAATCCGAATAAATCTGCTGCTGAAGAAGCTGTGGCTTACACAGCGAAACGTTCGGAAAACAGATCTTGTTTTGATTTTGTTCTTAAACACGCTCGGATTAATTTTAATAATTTATAATGAGTCAATCTGACTCGGTGCTCAAATTATTCCAGGAAGTTCGTAACACCTACGGTCTGGAAACTTATAAGTAGTAGTAATAGTTTAAAGAAGCATGAATACCTTGGTTTAGCTCCGCTTACTTCAATGTGACGTTCCTCTCCCACTCCTGGTATTGCAAGTGAGACACAGGGATTCAGGCTGTTGAAATCTCAGTAGGAGTAGGAGTGTGGTTTGTTTTAATAAGGTGGAGTAACTGGGTGTGTTTAGGAGTTTACAAGGCAGGGATCGAAACTGGGCCTTCCATGTGGCTGGCAAGCATCCTATCATTGAACTACCAACGCTCAGCATGAGTAAAACTCATATAATAAGAGTGAAAACTTAACACTCCACTGATGAAATTCGATTCATTTATCTGCTAAGTATGAGAAATTCTTATGTGATTTTATTATAAATACATAAGTTAGCAAAGAGATCCCCTTTCTTAAATTCACTTCAAAGCTCTATAGTTGTTTGGGGATTTATATATTTATAACGTTAAGTGAAAACAAGGGTCGGAGGGGATTGTCAGTAAGTAATAAATCAAGTTGAGAATGCAATGGTGATGGATTTTCCACTTTATCCAAAACTGGTGGATTGTTTCATGGAGTACTTTGAGTCTAATAGCCTTCAGTCAACGATCAATCAAAGAAACAAGAAACTTTTGGCGCACAATAATCTTGATCCATTTTATTTCGTTGGTTCTCATCAACAGTTGCGTACAACCTTTGTCCATTATCAAGCATATTGTCAGAGCGTCACAGTAAAATAAGGCGTCGTGATATATATATATATCTTGTTAGAGAGAAGTTTCTTTTTAAAAAATTAGCCAACAGTTGTGTTGTTGGGGTGGTAACAAAAGACAATTAGCAATATTTACTTGTCAAGTCAGTATATATGGAAAAGTTAAATTAAACAAAGTGACAAAAAAGAATTAAGTATAATTAACACAAACGTTTGATAATCCAATCAAATAAGGATTACCAAGGTAGGTTAAGCGTAATAACAAACTGTTTCTGAATACACAAGAGGGGCTTAAGTTTATGAATAGCTATAGCCTCAGCGTATTTCAATAAGCGCCCTTGACCGTTTTTATAGATGATCTTAAAGGCTGATTTAACATCAGTCTTATAGTTCATCTCGATTAGGTGTTTAGCTATAGACGAAGTTGGTTGTCTGACACCTGTATCTGTTCATTTTTCACAATTCATCGGTTTTTTTAACCATTTTGGGATATGCTCTCCCACCCTCACATTCAAATCGCGATTACTCCTCCCTATGTATGTGTGTTCACATACACATACACACGGAAATTGGCAAATAGTGTGGGGTGTGACATAATCCTTTGTGCACTTTTTAGGTTTGCAGTGGAGCATATTTTTAGCTTTCTCGACAATTACAAGCTGGGCTGCACAATAGGTTCTACAGATGATCGATTGTCTCAAAATCCTACTGTTTATTTCCCCGTTATCACATCACATTTTTCAGATAATCTCCATTTTCTAATAAAGCTATCAAAATTTATAAAAGGGACTAATTGTTACAATTAGCAATAGTTACGTAATTAGATAAGAAAAGATCAAAATTTTTAAATTTCGGTGCACATGAGGTCAGATGAGAAGTTGATGATGTAATACAGTGAGCAGAACTCAGAAGATCAAGAAAAATTATCTCTTAAGAGAGTCAAGCGAAAAATAAAGGGGGAAGGGGTGGAGTGAAAAGATAAGTTAACAAAATTAGAAAACAAAGAGTTACTCACGTCTTAGTAACTATTTGTTAACTTGTCTTTTCACTCCACCCCCTCCCCCTTTATTTTTCGCTTGGCTCTCTTAAGAGATAATTTTTCTTGATCTTTTGAGTTCTGCTCACTGTATTACGTCATCAACTTCTCATCTGACCTCATGTGCACCGAAATTTAAAAATTTTGATCTTTTCTTGTCTAATTACGTAACTATTGCTACTTGTCTTTTCAAGTATTGGTTTTGTAGGGATTTTTTTTGATTGCATGGAGGATTTAATCATGAGCTGACATCAGTTTCCCAGCGTTCTCTAACTAATGTCAGCTCATGATTAAATTCTCCATGCAATCAAACAAAATCCCCACAAAACCAATACTTGAAAATTAATCTGATTCTCTCTAGCGACTTGCCCTATTCAGGCAGTTAACCTGGGTTTCTAGTGGGAAGTCGTGACCAGTAGGGTACAGCAGGTTGAAGATGAGGCAGTAACTCATCGAAGAAGACATTGCGAAGTGGTCGCGCTATGTCGTGAATTGGCAGAAGTTAGAATTCAAGGACCATTGGATCGGGTCCCAGTGGCTCAATGATCTACGAGCTCTCCTTGTAACCAGAATGTCCTGGGTTCGAATCCCGGTGGGTGCGTACTGCTGAAGAGTCCCAAACTAGGACGAAACAGCTGTCCAGTACTCCCAGGTTTTCCAATGGATCTCTAACTGATGTCAGCGCATGATTAAATCCTCCATGTAATTGTCTTTTGTTACCACCCCAATAACACAACTGTTAGTTAATTTTTTTCAAGATATATATATATATATATATATATATATATATATATATATATATATATATATATATATATATATATTATGTATGTCGTAACGCTTCAGACACCCTGTAGATCGCAGCGCCTGATTTTACTATGACGCTCTGACAATATGCTTACTAATGGACAAAGGTTGTAAGCAGCTGATGATGAGAACCAACGAAATAAAATGGATCCAGATTATTCTGTACCAATGTTTCTTCCTTCCTTGCTCAAATTTATAAAAGGGAATCATTGTATGAAACTATCGGTCAGTTCAAAGTTTGTATTTGATAAATGGATGATATCTTTATCACTACCGAATAAAATACTAAGCTAAGTAAAATCCTAAAAGTCATTCATGAATCAGTTGAATTTAAAAGCGAAGTTAGATCAGAAGAAAAATTTTCCCATACAAGATATCCAACTTTCAAGGCGAATAGATGGAACCCTAAGAAAACCAATTTACCATAATCTAAAAATGGAATGGTTAGTTGAAAAATTCTCACAATTTTGTCTCTGTAAGCAGAAGCAAAATTTCACTGTCTTTCTCGCTATGAGAATCTACCGCAAATCAAGTGAGGAGTTAGAAACCTTCAGAAACACTTCAATCAAGAATGGACATCCAGCGTTCTTCATCAACAGATAGAAATTTCAAGAGAAAGACAGATGCTCTGAAGAAGATGAATGTGCTGAAGAAACAACTTATTGTAAATCCAAATTTGATGAAACACAAAATTATTGAAGTTCTGTTAAGCAGTCTGTTGAGAGCAATTTGAAGAACTTTTTTTGTCTAGAACTCTATGCAATAGTGAACTCCACATCCAACATATCTGAGCTCCAAATTTTTTTGATTAAGTTGACTCGGTTCACTAACTACTTCAATCAGCTCGTTGTGACTGCGGTTTTTCACCTATGCATATGAAATCACCTAAAAGAAACGTTTCGCTGAATTATACGTTTTCTTGTTTTTCATGTCCTAATGAGGATCTCCAGCATAAATCCGTTTCATTTTAATATAGGGAAAAATTCATTCAGACATCTACAAAACACAAAGTAATTGAGCAAAGAATATCCTTTTCGATAAATTCCTCTTCTTGCACCACATCTATATATATGCTCATATACATAGAATATTCTAGAATAGTAGTCAATATTAGTGTTTTTCAAATAATAAAGATTTGTAAAGTAAGATCAATGGAATTACAGTTCATTAAAGATGCTCAAATTATAATAATAATAAAGATATAATAGCAAATATAATATCAACTAAAATTAGGGAAATTTCTACGAAAACTGAGGATCATTCAAACTTAGATAGCCAGTTTCGTGCCCTTAAAATACAAACGCAATCTGATAAAGTGCTCGGTTCACAGAGAATGAGCAATCAAAGCAGCCCAAGGTAGCAACAGTTCCTAAAAAGGCCTTATTCTTACAAAATCAGTTCCTCGGGGACAACATAAGCAAGATACTAACACAACGACTTAGAAATAAGGTAAAAACAGCATTCCCTGCTACTGAATTACGTTGTATCTTCAAAACCACTCCTTTTTTTCGTTCGGGAGTAAAAGATAAACTGCCTATTTTTGCCTCTTCCATGTGTATCCATCAATCTAACTGCTCCTGCGGAGCCAGTTAGTTGCATAGGCCATACAATTAGGCATGTTTCTTGTTGGATTTCCAAGCATCACCCTACGTGGTTGAGTAAAGGACAAACCAAATCTATTCGTAGCACTATTCTATCTCATCTTGTGGATACAGAACACAAGATTGATGTCAACGAGGCAGCTTTCAAAGTCATTTACCACATACAACAAATCTTAACTTTGCCTTAAGAGTTCGATGACCAAATATTGCTGAGGCTGTTCGGATCCACATTGAAAAGCCTAATTTATGCGTCCAAAAGAAGCTATTTCAGACATTATCCTCACCCTGGCCATCTAGGTTTGAATGATCCTCAGTTTTTGTGAAAATTTCCCTAATTTTACTTGATATTATATTCGCTACTATACCTTTATTATTATTATTTAAGCTTCTTTAATAAAGTGTAATTGCATTGATCATACTTTACAAATCTGTATTATTTAGAAAGCACTAATATTGATATTGACTATTATTCTAGAATACTCTATGTATATAAACATGTATATAATTGTAGAGCCAGAAGAGGAATTTATTTGTCGAAAAGGATATTATTTGCTCAATGATTTTGTTTTCCATTTTACTCAAGTTTTGTCTTTCGTGATGATTAGTCAATATGTCTCCGCATCTATTTACAGGTTAGGTACACCAGTAGTACGTAAATTGGTTCAAGAAAACATTGATGGTTATAATGACCATGATCAGATATTATCTCTCCTGAAGTGTTTTGAAGTAAGTTTGGTTACTTTTCCATTGTGATAACTAACGCATTTATTTGATTAAATTTTAATGCTGGATAACTTTGATCATGCCTGAATAATTAAAGTACAGGATCAAAAATAATGTAGGAAAGTTGACCATATATGATGACAGATGAACCATTTTCTGGTCAAATTTCTGGATCCACCTACTGGAAAATAACTCTGATATCGGTGATACGTAACTATCGGTAGAAAATTCTATATTTAGAAGTCGTCGGCAACGATCGTCGATAACGAATACCTGAAGCCTTGAAAGAAATTATCCTATACCAGAGACGTTACTACACATCTCTTTGAACAGTGACTGACCTCCTATAGGACGTTAATGAATGTAATCAAAAGTTTCTACGGAATGATTCCTTTTTACTGTCCGTCCCTAAAGTGGATTGAATTCTGCCATTCAGTAACCTAATAGTAATTATAATCAACTCAAAATGTATCGCAGTGGAAAGTTTCTCTGCTCAATGGCTACATTGTAAACTTGGAGGAGAGAATACAATTAGCACAAAGACCTAGTTAACACAACAATGCTTACGTTTAATTCTGTATGAATTTAATGGCTAAAACGTAGTAAATAATTTTCTGAGAAACGAAGACATATTTGTCAAGAGGCACTTTTATTTCCAACGAAGTATTGTGAAGCTCTGTAAAGTTGTGCTTATACTCGCTTCATTTTCATTTACTCCATAGGAGCTTTGAATCATGAAAAAAATCATTTAAAAGTGTATAAAAAAGTGAAAGTCAAGAAATGCAAACTGGAGATAAAAATGAGTCGGTCAAGCCAACTGGCTTCAAGTTAATATACGATTACAAAGGACAGTAAAAGTTTTATCTGGTATATATATATGGAAAGAGCAACTAGCTGGGCGGTTAATGTGATTATAAAGGGAAGGTAATGTATCATGTTGGAGTCACTCACATGGCACCTTGGCACTAAGTATAGTTATTGAAATGAAGTGGCCACCTGGTTAGCAGCCGAGTCTGTTATATCATCCGGCAGTTCACTGAACTGGCAATTTAGAGGCGCTGATTCAAACCCCTCAGGGACTCAGACTTGTTTTTCATTGCATTCTATCGTCCTCCACTACATCAACAACAGTCTGCTAACCGAAAACTATCTCAAATAGTGTCAACATCAACTAAATAGATGACAAAAAATACACAGTATTGTGGCTGAAGTGTCATTCTATTGATGCTGAGGCGAGTGAGCATATTTATTATTTTTGGCTGTAGAAGTAGACTTTAAGGCCATAATTTATCAGCAATGTATATTTAGCGTAATCTGTGAGCTCTGCCACGTTATCCGCAAACGATTCATATCATTATGAAGAAGTCTTATAGAGTATCTAAATGATCACAGCTGATAAAGTACTCTCGTGTCTGCCTGCAGCTAATGAAGTTGAACGACATACCAAAATTCGCTTACAAACGTGAAGGTGCGTACAACTGGCGCATGTTGTTCTACAAAAACACATCCATCATCTCAATATTTACTGGATTTTGCGACCAAACTCTGATTTTATCCTCCTGAGTTGATCGGTCTCACACACGTTAGTGATAAACTGGCTTAAATGCTCAAATTACTTCAGTTTAGCTTATAAAACACCAATAATTAATTTATTCACTTTTAACTACTTATTTCACACATTCAGTAGTACATGAATAATGAATGATTTTTTTCTTTTCAGAATTAATATTATTTCTTTTGCTTTGATTTAGTTGTGTGCAGTACATTGGTGTGAACTTCTCGATACTGTGAAAACTACCAGTGCTTTACAAACATTTAAAAATGTGGTATGTTAAATTTCAATCAAAAGATAATTTAATCTATGCATATTTCCTATTTATTTTAGAAGAAATATTTAAACGCAGGGTAAGTTATTTTAAATTACCTACATATATATTTCACGCGTTTTAACTTTGGTTGGTGAATACACTGAATGCAAATGTTTATATGGCATTGTCTTTCTTTATGACTGTTCAGCAAGACGATTGGTGTTAGGTGGAATAATATAGTCAGCAAAAGTGAGGTTAGGTATAATGTTGTTAAATAAGGAGGGGATACCAGTCTGTGAGGTGTTTTGAAGATGCCTCGATTAAAATGCTCTAGATGCATATCATGCATATCGATATATCTCCCTTCAAGTTGAGTAGTTATAGCTGACGTTGACATGTGTTGCTAGAGAGTCACAAGACGTCAAATCGAAACAAGGCGTCAATCCATGCTGTCTTTGATTGTTACTTTGAGACATGTAAGAAGATAAAGACTGGCTGATTGGGAGTTTCTACGCCTTTTGAAAACTCGCTTCATTTATATATATATATCCTCAAACAGCAGTAGGGGCAATATTCTGTCTTAAAAAGCTGGATGAAGTTAGGTGAATCTTGTGTACGCGTTCAAGACACAAGTATACTGAGACAGGTGGCCACCTATCAGCCGCTAAAATGTTTAATTTTTAATATGTGCCAACATGTAAACGAGCATAGAGTACTTCAATGTGAGTTACTGGTTCAAATTTTATTATGCTTTCATTTGTTTGATTATTGACGGTGAATGAATTCCCGTCATGAGTGCTACTGTATTCAGGTTTCATCAGTCGAACTCATCTACTGAGAGACAACTATTATAGAGAGTAAACAGCTAGTTACGCGACAAAGGTATGACTTTTCAGTCATTTGTGTGAAAACGCGATTTTCAAGTGTCTGTTCTGCTTCGAGGAAATGTTTTCCAGTGGGGTTTCAAACTATTTAACTCTAAAATATACATACAATGACATTTTCGCTTTCAATAAGAGTCTTTTAACAAGTCAATAGCCTCCATTGACGCATAGTTTCCAACGTGAAATTTTGTACAAAACTGAAGCAGCCCAGTTCGCTTTGCATCATATAATAAACAAACGTAAAGACAAAAGAATTCAAAATAACTTTGATGAAGAGAAGGGTTTGACCAATTCATAAAAGCTGAATACATCTGCGCCAAAAAAACTAATTTTAGAAAAGAGAAAGATTGAGCGAAGAAATATTTACTTTTCAATTAGATCCTCATCTCTGACTCTACTCTAACATATATAGCATTTTGATTACAATATACAACAATTTACCAATCAAGTGGCGATATGTTTGTTAACAATAATTAGTCAGTGTCAAAATGTCAATGGGGTGGTAATTAAAGAAGAAAAATTAATATATATAATTAAAAGGTGGAAATGGTTACAACACGTGGATTGCATAATGCATAATTTAGGAAAAATGAAGAGCAATTAAGGAATAAGCGTGTGCACAGGTTGATTACGTAACAGATTGTTAAAGAAAATAAAACAATTTGGACAATGACAATTTGTAACTAAAGTTGAAGTGGTCATAAGAATAAAATAGTTTTTACAAGGATAACACGTAATTAAAGATGAAGTAGTCAGAAAAATAAAATAATTTGGACAATTATAGTTTTTATAGGTTTTTAAAAAGAAAAATATTTTAGGGGGAGGGGGATGAAGCAGTCCGGTTTATACAGTCATGTAACGATGGCCAAGGTAAGGAAAGTGGCTGTACAAATTTCTTCTGAACACACAAGTTTGGCTTCTTCAGGTGGATTCCTATTGCTTCAGCTGTACGTAGAAGACGAACTCGTAAGGCAAAATTAAGATTAGTAGGAATTCGATAAATAATTTTAAATGCAGTATTATTATTATTGCTCCCTTGGGTTCCTAGTGGAACATAGGGCTTCAACTGCAAGTCTCCATTTTCTTCTGTCTTCTGCTATATTTTTTGCCTGCATCCATGTTAATCAATATTCTTTCAACTACTCTTCACACGATCTCCTCCATGTCACCCATGGACGTCCCACACGCCGCTTCCCTTTCGGGTTCTACTCGAGGGCCTGGCGCGCGATGTCACCCAGCGGTCTCCTCAGCAAGTGTCCGATCCATCTCCACTTTCTCCTGCATATTTGTTGGGCGATTGGTTCTTGCTTTGTTTGTTCCCATAATTCCTTGTTGGTGATTCTTTCCGGCCATCTGATCTTCAGTATAGAGCGAAGACAGTTGTTAATAAAGGTCTCCAGCCTTTTGGAAATATTCTTTGTGACCCGCCAAGTTTCTGATCCGTATAGAAGAACTGACTTTACGTTTGTATTGAAAATCAGAATTTTGTTGGTGATGCTGAGTGACGAAGATTTCCAGGTTGATTTCAGGCTGATGAATGTGTTTCTCGCCTTCCCGATTCTCGATTTGACATCCTCGTCCGCTCCGACTCCCTGTAGTTGAGACAATGCTCCCTAGATAAGTGAATGAAGTAACCTCTTTCAAATCCCTCCCGTTGATGGTGATTTACGTTGGATGTTGTTGCTGTTGTTGGTTGGTTATTTTCATAACCTCCGTCTTGTCTATGTTTACCTGGAGTCCTGTCTTCGCTGACTGCTTCTTCGACCAGTTTGTCGGTCGGTTTTCGCTTTTAAGTCTTCGATTGTGTGTGACATCAAACATAAGTCATCCGCGAAATCCAGATCTTCTAGGTTCTTCACGTCGGTCCAGGATATTCCTGTCTTCTCGTTTCCCATACGCTGTCTGACGCATAATCCAGTCCACCACAATTAGGAATATCATTGGTGATAGTAAGCACCCTTGTCTGACTCCTGTGTTTACTCCAATCGCCTCGCTGAGTCTTCCGTTGTGGATAACTTGGCAGGTGCCGTTGTCGTACAGCTGTTGAATAAGGTTGATGAATATTTGGGGTACGCCATAGTACTCGAGTAATTTCCAAATTACTTCACGATCAACGCTGTCGAAGGCCTTCTCAAAGTCTATAAAGTTGAGGTAGGAGTTTGACCGCCATTCCATGCTTTGTTCGATGATGATGCGTAGAGTTGCAATTTGGTCAGTACATGATTTGCCTTTCCTGAATCCAGCTTGTTCTGGTCGGAGTTCTGTCTCCAGTGCGTCCTTTAATCTCTCCAGGATGATGCGACTCAGGATTTTACTTGGCGTCGGCAGGAGCATGATTCCTCGCCAGTTCTTGCAGAGTCCTAAGTCGCCCTTCTTTGGTAGTTTCAAGGGCTAAAATAGAGCTACGAATAGATCTTGTTTGTCCCTTGCCTAACCATGCCGGATGATGTTCGGAAATACGATGATGAACCTGCCTAATTGTTCGCCCGATGTAGCTGGCTCCGCAGCTGCAGTCAAACTGGTAGATACACATAGAAGAGGCGAATTTAGGTAGTTTATCCTTATTACTCGAACGTAGGATAGGTGTGGTTGTGAAGAGACAGCGTACCTCTGCTGCATAATAAGCTCTTTTAACTGCATTCTTCAGTCGTTGTGTTATTATTTCGCTGATGTTGTCACCGAGGAACTGAAGTTTTATGAACAGTGGTTTTTTCGGAACTGTTGCCATAGTGACTGTCCTAGGTGATGAATTCATATTTTTCTCAATAAACTTATCTGGATAACCATTTTTTCTAAGCAATTCTCTAATAATCTTAAGCTCCTCATTGAAGCAGTCGTCTGAACAGATTAACCTAGCTCTATGAACCAGACACTTTACCAGGTTACGTTTATATTTCAAAGGTACAAAACTCAAAAAATGAGTGTACTGACCTGTTGTAGTAGGTTTCCTGTACACACTCCTTCTTAGTGTGCCATCTTTCCTTGCCATGAAGACGTCTAGGAATGAGATACTGTCATTACTTTCTTTCTCTATGGTAAAGTTTATTGCTGAATGGGCATCATTAAACTTGTCAAGGATGTTCATTGCATCGTCCTCGTTTTTTATGACCAGAAATGTATCATCCATATATCGACAGTAGAAATCCAAGTCACTAATTACTCATTTCAGTGATCCATTCTCTAACTTAGCGAGGAAAAAATCAGCTAGGATTGGGCCTAATGGGGAAACCATAGCTACACCATCAATTTGTCTGTAATATTCCTTATTGAATAAGAAATGAACATTGTACATCTTAAAATAAGTTCCTTCAAGGTGGATATAGAAATGCCGATGTCTATGTTTCGTGTGGTGATCTCCTCACATATAAAATCCACTGTCTCCATTAACGGTACATTGGTGAACAAGGAGGATACATCAAAGGATATCATAAACTTGTCCCTCACATTAAGATCTCTTATTTTTCCAACAAATTCAAAACTGCCATTTACGCTGTGTTTTACCAACTCATTATGCAGAGGTTTCAGGAGCTTGACTAACCATTTTGCTGTGGCATGATATGGGGAATTACACATGTCTAACACTGGTCAAAGTGGCACACCAATTTTGTGCACTTTTGGAAGTCCATATAATCTTGGTGTAACCGCGCCAGTAGGCTTCAGAGATTCATATAGACCTTCTATGATGCTGCTTTGTTGTTTAAGTCTTTTTAGTGACTCGATTAGCTGTTTCTCCACTTTTTCTGTTGGATCGACGGAAGATGTGATTTTTTGAAATTTTCGATGATCACTGAGTATTCCATTCATCTTATCTATGTATTCAGTCTTATTCATTATTACTACTCCAGAGCCTTTATCAGATTTCGAAATTATTATATTCTCATTATTTCGCAGCTTATCTTAAAATTATTTATCGAATTCCTACTAATCTTAATTTTGCCTTACGAGTTCGTCTTCTACGTACAGCTGAAGCAATAGGAATCCACCTGAAGAAGCCAAACTTGTGTGTTCAGAAGAAATTTGTACAGCCACTTTCCTTACCTTGGCCATCGTTACATGACTGTATAAACCGGACTGCTTCATCCCCCTCCCCCTAAAATATTTTTCTTTTTAAAAACCTATAAAAACTATAATTGTTCAAATTATTTTATTTTTCTGACTACTTCATCTTTAATTACGTGTTATCCTTGTAAAAACTATTTTATTCTTATGACCACTTCAACTTTAGTTACAAATTGTCATTGTCCAAATTGTTTTATTTTCTTTAACAATCTGTTACGTAATCAACCTGTGCACACGCTTATTCCTTAATTGCTCTTCATTTTTCCTAAATTATGCATTATGCAATCCACGTGTTGTAACCATTTCCACCTTTTAATTATATATATTAATTTTTCTTCTTTAATTACCACCCCATTGACATTTTGACACTGACTAATTATTGTTAACAAACATATCGCCACTTGATTGGTAAATTGTTGTATATTGTAATCAAAATGCTATATATGTTAGAGTAGAGCCAGAGATGAGGATCTAATTGAAAAGTAAATATTTCTTCGCTCAATCTTTCTCTATTCTAAATGTCTAAATGGGGATATTTTCTATATAGAACTTATTTTAGCCATATTTTTCAAGTTATTGGATCTTAGCGTGTCAAAGAACCCAGTGAGTCAGTATAGACCTACCTATATGGTTCAAAACCAAAAGTCAAAGACTTCATGTATTAAAGCCTTATTTTACTTTGACGTTTCCATGACTCTTTTATCCAACCCAATTCTTTGTCAGCTAACACCCTCCAATCGATGCACCCTCATTGATTGGCTTTTCCTTCTTACCTAATACTCTACACGTAACCTTATTGTCACTCAACACATTAATGAAGCACTTTTGAGTGAATATCAAAGAGTTGAACCTACAGATATGTGGATAAGTCACACAGATCCTCATCATTTTCTGCCAGAGTAAATTGTCATATTCATGCTTAGTTTAAGATAACAGGTAAAATACAAAGTGGTTAGTGACAATTAATACATCAGAATCGGTGATTGATAATAAAATCAAAGGAGAATAAGTGGATAGGATAGTAAAGTTATGCGATAGATAATACAGTTTTTAAATATTAGATGGTTAGGGTTAGGCAATCGGCAGGAAGATTTGGACCTAGGTTTCGTTCTAGTTGGCACTCATCAGCAAGGTGTATCTGTAACCTTGAAGAAACTCATGTCCATTATGAAATTCGAACCCGCGTCACCTAGTGCTGCAGTCAGAGACGTTATCACTGAGCTATTCGGGCTGGCGACTGACCTACTGTACGACTGCAGTGGATATTTTGATTGGACACTAGTAACTAGTGTTTTCTTCGGTACATACTGAATTCTATCAGTCTAATCTAATTGAAGATAAGCCATTGGTGCATCTTTTTAAACACAATTTCATTTGTCCAAAATGGCCTGAATTTTCACAAGATCTCTTTCTCTGGGCTTGTGGAAAATGTGGAATCTACTACACTGACCAGTGACTTCGCAAACTGAAGTCATATCTCCTTGTGATTTTAACAAACTTTCTTTTAATCTGATCCTACTTTGAAAAAACATTGAGCTATGTAATAAACGGATCCTTGAAATGGGTAGTATATGTGTCAGTTACTTCAGTCAGTGGAGATCAGTAAAATCACCCATCTATTTATCTAAGCATCACGTCATGCAATCAGTGAGACAGCAATTAGGTGCCTGTTTTCTTTACATATCACCATCATTTAACTGTTATGCTTTATGGCTGGTTATACATTAACTCTATTTGGCTAACTATTTGCAATATCTCAACCAATTCCGGACGCAAGAAGGAAGAAACTCTGATTGGTTATTTGCGATACCAGCTACAGTAAAATCTCACTATGTAATATGTAAAACTACCCTTACGACTCTTGGAATTTCCTTTGTTCATAATAAGATGTGATGACACAGATGGCGACGAATTTATACATCATGGACTGACAGAAGTTAGAATTCATAGATAATTAAATTTCAAAAGAATGGATACTGCACAAAGAGTACTCTTTTCGATAATTTCATCATCAGGCTCTACAGTTATATATACATTATAGTGAATGAATGAATTAGTGTTATGAACAACATTAATGTTTAAATAACATCACATCAATAATAATATTGATAGATTACAGCTGAATAGCATCAACATAAAATAAGCTGAATGTCAGAAGAATTAGGAAAGACAATATTACAAATTCATGAGTTTATAGTTTCTATTGAAGGCCAGGGCAATAGTAGGGGCTGGACTTGCTTCTTTTGAACACAGAGCACTGGTTGTTTGAGGCGAACCGCAATAGCCTCTGCTGTTTGGAGCATGAGGTGCTTCGATGATTTTGGCAGTTTATTAGGCACCAGGTATATTATACAGAAGGATTCTTCTGCGCTGGCTTTGTGGCCGGTTTGCACCAGATGGTCCACCATCGAACTGCTAATGGTTTTCACTACACCTTTACTTATCTATGCTGGGAGATGTTCTCGAGCACGAAAAGTCAAGTTCCTAGAGGAACGGCCAATATAACTCGCTCCTAGTTGTAGGATGGGCAGCGAGCTCGCATCGCAAATCGAAGATCCTGAGGTCCACTCCCTCGTAAAGGCTCCCAAACTAGGACAAAACAGCTGTCTGGTACTGCACTATCTCCACTCGTTATCTAAATGATATAAATTCGTGATCTAACTTGAAATAGGCTGTGACTTGGATTCTTTTTCTTCCTTCACATTCCCAGTGGAACAGAGGGCTTCAGGCTAGTGGCTTGAAGTTTCTGCAGCAGTGTTCAGTTTTACAGAATGGGGTTGCTAGCCCCTTGCGCAAGCTTTCCTCTTTACCAGCTTTATTTCTGGCTTAGTGGGGTAAAAGAGTGTGTCGGCCGGGGAACGGACCCCGGACCATGTGCATGGTCGGCGAGCGTCCTAACCGCTGTGCCACTGACGCACTGAATATTATAATCACCGGTGATTCCATCTATTGACATTTACTTTCGATTATACTTTTCATCATCTTGTAGTTCAAACGCAGCGAAATTTGCAGGAATATCTGAACAGAGTATAATCAGATATTTACAAGCAAATGATTGGACAGTTAGAGAATACCTTTTAGCTGATACACGAAATGGTCAACCAATTCGTCAGAGTGTAACCAATCGAACTGATGAAATTTTTCCTTTACCAAAAGATTTACCAAACACAAAATTAGCGTCATCAGCCTTATTGAAACAAAATGAATACCGTAAGATTATTATAAATATTGAAAATGAAACAATCGCCTATGAAAATGAAACTATATTAATTGAAGAAAAATGGATTAATGCGTGTACCACTGAAGAATGTTTACAACAACAAATCGGTGTGAAACAGAATGAATTGAAAAGACTAGAAGAAATATTACAAATAAAAATGGAAGTTCTTGATGATAAAATTTAGGATATATACTTGATAAATTATATAGTTTTGACAATAGTCTTAATATTCCAATGTATAATTTCATAAATGTATGTATAAGTAGATATTGAGTCTTTGAAATTTCCATAAATGTACTCCTTAAAATCAACAGTGTACTTCGACATTTCGGTACGAGACTGTGATGTAATACCAAGAAGGATGGATAGCCCCTAACGATCTCTGATGGCAGTAATACAACAAATTAGCATTAGTTGGCAACATAGTCTGTTGGTTTCCGAAGTAATGACAAGCACTTAGAAATCTGACTCACGATTTCAGCGGCAAAGTTAAACATTATAATAAAGGTTTTTTTTATCCCCAATGACTGAAAAACAAAGCGATATCGCTGTTTTTACTGACAGTTATAATGAAATATCGATCCATATACACATAGCAAAATATAATAAACTGTCAAAAACAAAACACACATCATGTGGATACATATCACCTCGCCTTTTGAGAAAATTGATGATTAGTAGCGTGTTTTCTTAGGGTTTATCTTGAACCGTTCAGTTTGTCGTCGACGCCTGTTGCTTTTTCTGCTTGTTGGGTTAGCAGGTTCTGCTTTGTCTGGAGTTGTCTGAGCGGCGTCATTTTGCTTTTCTGTTTTGTCGGTCGTTGGTTAGTTACAAGTATCCAAGAGTATATCCAGAGGTAGGGTTGACTGTGTACTGGTAGGGATATTTGAGTTTCTTGGACGCAACTGATTGTAGTGACGGGTCCATAAATCATTACCAACTTTCACGTCGTACATAACTCGACCACGTCGAGCTGCGATGGAACCTTTATTCCAAGGTTTATGTCCTGCTCGACAGTCGCGGACATAAACAGCGTCACCAACATCAAATTTGTTTTTGTTTCGAATTGATGCGTCGGCACGGTTCGGTGCCGGTGGTAACATGGAATTATGAATCGTTCTAAGTTTGCGTGGCTGACAAAATGCGTTTTTATGATCGATGATTTTGCACTTGCTGCAACGATGATTTTTGTATGGACAGGACTTTACAAAGTGCCACGCGCCACAATGCCAGTATGGTGATGGTGGGGTCTTCTTTGCAGTATTTTGTGAAGTTGGACGAGTATATGTAGATTTACGCGGAACATTAGAAGAAGGTGGGTCAGGACTGGATGATGAAGAGAGATTTTCGCTCTTTCGTAATGTACAAATATCAGAGCTTCTCGAAGTTGTTGATTCGACCAGGTATGTGTCTTTCTGGAAATTAATCAGCCTTTGATATTCATCAGCTATATCATGTAGTGTTAAATTGGGATTTTGCTCTAGCTGATTGAGCAGCCATGTTCGATTTCCATATGTAATTTCAAAAAATAGCTGCTGAGATCCCGAAATGAAGGTAGCGAAACTGTGATGTACTTTATAAATGGTAAACTGGGAGCAGACAATGTAGGGGAACTACACATCATAGGTAGAAAGAAATGACAAGCACGGAGAACTCTTTGCAGCCTTCTGTTTACTTAGTGATTCAGTGATTGAGGTGTAGAATGTACAAACACAAGTATATATACAAGACGACACAGTTTTCGCCCGACCGACACATTAAAAATCAGACAGACTTCATCTTATGATTGTTTGGGGGATTTCATCATCATGAGCTGTCATCATTTAGAGAACCATTGGAAAACCTTGGGGTACTGAACAGCTGTCTCGTTAGCCTAGTTTGAGACTGTGAGGTCAATCACACAGGCCAGTCAAACTAGTATATTGGGGTTAGCTAGATTATTGGAACATGAAAATTTAGCTAAACCTAAGATGATTGACCCTGCCGGGTTGAATAACCTAGAAAAACGCTAAGCCATTGAATTGCACTCACTTACATGTAACCACGCGGTAGGGTGGGGAAGGGTGAAAGTATTATAAAGTAATATGGTTAGGTGGAAATAAAGAGGCTGATTACTGAATCCTTGTTTATCGATTCAGCACCGCATACTTTCAATCGGAATGACGCAACGCCTACACTGGAGATATGGAGATCTGCAACAAACAACAAGACGAGTTTGGAGAGAGAGAGAGAAGGGGGAAAACATAGTGAAGCAAATTGTGAAGCCGTGTGACCAAACTGACATGATTATGAGTAGCGACAATTCATACTCGGCACCTTGTCATCCAGCTGTTAATATTGCATCACTATGTGATTTTTAAAGTGAACGCATGTATGAAAGAGAACCTAAGATTAATATGAAAGCCATTTAATAATAATAATTATACATTCTCATATTTTGTACTTTAGGGACACCAGTTTACACGTATCATCAATATTGTAAACTACATTTAAGATTAATAAGCATATATAGTACTAATAATTTATTATAAATTTATTCCTATCTATGCAGGATACACCACTTGGACAGGCATGATAATCATAGTAATGACAATGATAATTTGCTTTATTCCAAAAACAGTACTAATGATACAGCAAGGAATTTTCAGGATTCAGTACAATATAGCACCTAATTTACTCAAAAACGACAAACAAAATTAAAAATAAACATTACGTAATAATAATAATGAAACGTTGTTATAGCAGCAACATAGCAAAATACTGTATGCGATACGGCGAAAAATATGCATAAAGTATAAAATTGTAGTAATAATAGTGATAACAACTAAAATAAAACAGCAAAGTTATAATTAAACGATAGAAAGTGTGACACCATGTAATACAGAAAGATGAACGATGAAAGGGTCGATTCACTGTGCTAATTACATAGTAACTTATGTGTTTCACGTCTAACAGAGTCTTCATCACATAAAGTACGGGCTAAATAGGGTATTGTAGAATTTCTGTACTTAGTGGTACGAGCATATAACATTTTATATTGACTTCTCGTCCTACCTGATGGGATACAAGGAGATGGTTGTGAATAAAGGGGGTGCAGAGGGTAGGTCTGACAGTACAGCCTTTGCCCATTTTGTACAGGAATTTATATATCTCTCGGTTATAGTATTGGCGAGCTCATGCAGTGGCAGACCACAAGCCTTACTCACAGTTTTTAATACTCTTCGCAATATGATATAGTCTTTTTTGAGAAGCCCAGGAAAGGTTAATGGAGAGCAATAGAGTAAAATAGGTAAAATACAGGAGTTTAAAAGTTGCAAAACTAAAGGTTGATTGATATCTGATTGTCTTAACTTTTTAATGTAGAAGGTAAAATGTCAGTCAAGTCTCATAAACCGTCAATGTCCAGCTTTTGCAGCGCTGGGCCACACGCTAGCCCTCGAAGATTTTCAGAAACGCTTAGTATTAACCGACGCAAAAACCAAAACACTGTTTGGCGACTCAAGAATTGTTTATTTTAACGCCAAAATATGACCAGCAATACTGGCATTACATAGTAAGGTCTAAGAACAAATATTACAACAATAAACCACGATATTACTCCTGACAGTTTTTTAGGTTCTTTCTGAACGGTGACCGATGAGACGATGACTGGTGGATTGATGACTCCGAAAAAATATGGGGAAGTTGGGTTTGAACAAACAACCATGAAGTGATCGTTCAATCTTCAGCTACATCAACACTCCTCGGCAAAATACGGATCCATCCCTTTTTCCCATCACGACCAATACACTTGACTTGGATGCCAGTGCGAGAACCTGGGTCACACGGACAAAGCTGAAATGAAAAACAAACAGAAAAGTCAACACACCACAGCACAATCTCACATATCGACGCCGACCTACGCCTTCCAGTTAAGGGCATCCTCTTGACATCTTGCAACACAATCACCACTTGCTAGAATGACTCTTGCAGAACGCAACGTGACCATAGCAGCACCTCATGATACTCTTCACACATCCTCTTATCTATTCACTACCAATTACCAGTGCAATCGCTTGTCACTCATTCTGCCTCAATTCTAGTAACGGTGACGTACGCAAGCCTCAGCCGTCTACACTCCCGCTCCCCGGCGTGTGGGACCACAGCTAATCATTATCTCCACGTGCAAGTTATTCTCAGCACTAGCCTCCCCGGCGTACACGACCTATCTGCTGTCTCTAACATCAATCAATTCATTCACGGATGTAGAAGACTAGAAACAACTTCAGAAGTAAGCACGACGAAAAATTTAACAAAATTATGCAATAAAAAAATGAACGAAAACAACACGCCAGTGCGTCTGCAACGCTTCTCAGGCTGACTATTGTAGGTTGAAGAATGTCTGGACACAAACAAGATTAACCAACGATTACATTAATCGGAACACACCCAATTATCTAACACAAACATATGTACAATCAATACATCAAATGTTGTGGATTTTGCCATGACGAACTACCCTTGAAGAACTGTAGGACTTACAGCAGTACGCGTACATTCCTTCTCAGGTTGATGATGCAAGTAGAAGACGTCAGGACACAAACAAAATTATCAACAGATAGATGAGAGATTCAGTATACACAACATGAACATATGTACAAAATCACACACCAAGCACGTTGGGCTGCTCATTGATGCGCTACCCTTTGAAGAATTGTAGGACTTACAGCAGTACGCCTACAACCCTTCTCAGGTTGACGCCCTAGGTTGGAAAATCGTCGCAGAGTTCATTTGCTGACCTCCTTCTATCATCTATATCTTCAACTTTGAATGGTAACACGCCTATGTCATTGTATCGTAGAGTACAGATGACTAACAAACATACGACGTATCTGACCAACCAAGCGTATGGACAGAGTAATTTACACCAAAGATAATAGCATTCAAATAGTAATTTGCAACTTGAAAGACCTTTATTCGTGCAAGTCAGTTTAACAATTGCCCTCTCGTACACAGTTGGCTTATCCTCACTAAACTAACCGATATCTTTCGTCTTTTCAAACGGACTGATACTAGCATAGTCAAAGCATAGGACACGCAAGTTCATGGACGCCCCTTTCATCAAGGACGACAACACCGACGACGACTGAGTGACACAAGTTGATGAACATAGCGGTGCATCAGAAGCTGTTGTTGTTGTTCGGCTTTTAAAAGGTTGTCTGACTGCAAGATTACCACCACTACTGTCTATTACTATTAGCTCCAGTTTATCATTAACATCTGTTGATAGGTGGGCTACACGCTGATCAATTACACTGACGGTCTCACAAGTGTCCATACTTTCTACCATTTCATCTGCTCTTAAATCTACTTCACGTTCACAGAACCTTTGTTCAACTCAGCAGTAGTAGGCATTTCACTCATCTCATCATGATCAGCCAAAGACAAATCTGCACTATCATGATCATTATCACAAATAAACACTTTACCTCCGTTTGTATAATCAATTTCAATCTGATCTCGGCATCAGTTTCTCTTCGATTCTCTGTTGGTCGTCTCATATCCTGATGATTTCTAAGAAAATGTTTCATTTAACTTATTACATAGAGAAGTTGAGACTTTCTGCTGGCATAACTCAACCTCTTCTCTCACAATTTGTTAATTCATGTATTCTGCCCATTCTCCTTTATTGTTCACCCCACTTATTCTACCCTGAACTTCTCGAAAAAGACTGTGTCATATTAAGTAGAACACTGAAAGCTGTAAATAGGGTTAGTGGTGTGCCCTTTGACTCAGCTAACTGGCATTATTATCAATAGGCACTTTAATTCTTGCAAGCGTTAGCTTGTTTGATACTGAGCATCCTCTTTATTCTCAACTTTTGCCTTGTAAAAAAACAGAAGAAATCCCATAAGAATTCATACTGGTACAAGTAAATATCAAAATTCTAATACACCATATTTAGCACGGGGTTGTGTGAAGAATCAGATGTCAGAAAAGAATTTATAAACCTTTTAAATTAGTAAGTGAACTGCGAAGTATCAGCAAAGATCATTATTATTCCACGTATTATCCATAATGCCATTTACTTATACTTCATTGTGTATAGACCATCATTCTATTATCATTATTATTACTATTAAAACGAAGAATATTCTCCCCAGGCTTTTACAATTACAAAATATAATATTTGTCATTACAATAATGGCCAGTTATGCGGTGGATGCATTTTGAACGTAGAATAACAGATTGGCTATGGGGTGCCAAGTGCATCCGTGGCACAGCGGTTAGGACGCTCGCCGACCATGCACATGGTCCAGGGTTTGATCCCCGGCCGACGCCGAACTCCTTTATCTCGCTAAGCCAGAAATAATCCTGGTAAAGAGGAAGGGTTGGACATGAACACTGCTACAAAAACTTCAAGCCACTAGCTTGAAGCCCTATGCTCCACTGGGAACGTGAAGGGAAAAAAATATGGGGTGTCATAATAAATAGTCGTATTTGTATGAAAAACATGCTAGGCTGAAGTCGATTACAAAATATTGTGAAATGAGAGACAATGGTGGTGATTAATCATAATAGATCTGTAGAGTGTGGGGTAGGAAAATTGACAAGTCAGTTCAAGGCTATAAAAGGTGTCAGGTGAGTGGCTAGTACAAATTGGTCTGTATTAGACAAGAGATAGTAAGACTATAATGAGAGGTTCATAATGAAATAACGATTGTGTGAAATGAAATAGGTGGAGGCATATATTGACGAAAGAGATAATATCGCTAATAATGAGTCCAAATAATATAAGTGGAAAATTCGATAGTATTGGGAGAATGTTTGCATGAAGAGTATAAATTATGACGAATAATACTAATTGTAATAATAAGCAAAGAAAGAAAAAATCAAGAGGGTTAAGGGGAAAAACATTCTTGGTGAGAAGAAGAGTCATCAATCCAAGTTTGGCCACTGTATAAACAGCGTCTGGAAGTGTTCTTTTCGGATAAGATGTTCCGGTTTAGTCGATCATATTGCAACAGCTTCAGCTATGTGGAGCAGACGTAAGGGAACTGTACGTGCTAATAACTTCGAAATTCGGTAAAAAACCCTGAAGGCGCAAACACATTACATATTTCAGATAAACTACGTCTTCTTATTGTGTTGTCGAAATCCCAATACTCCTGATCTACTTGTTTGACCTATGAAGTTAACCTCACAGTCATTGTTAGGTATTTTGTAGGTTATATTATTTTGTTCACTTGGGTCCTTTAAACTAAAGAGCTTTTCTCTAAGTGAGTCTGTAGGTTTGAATGCCACCCTGATTCCAGCTTTATTGAGAATCCTACGTAGGGCCTCAGATGTCCCCTCCTTATATGGTAAAACTGTAGATGCCTTATATTCTTTCTTACTTATCTTATCATTATAAGTTCCAACACTACTTTTATTTTGCTTTTGACCTTTTCTGATCTTCCCAATGATTTTTATAGGATAATTAATTACTTAACACCACCGCCTCTTCTGTCTATTTCATTTCATTGTTTAGGTTTTTTATTGTACTACTTAGTGGTATTTCCGGGTTTGTTAGACACTTTACTAAGCCAGTTTTTACAGATAACGGATCAGATTAATCAAAGTCTAAATATCTATTAGAAAGCGCTGTTTTTCTGTGTGGATTGAAGTATATTAACAATTGGATTTCCAAGGAATAGGAAGGCAGGCGCCTGAGCTGTAGTGTATTGGGTATCTCTGTATTGTTTTTATATCTTCATTAATAAATACACCTTTCGGCAGCCTTGTCATATTATTCTCGCTTCATTAGTTGCGGCAGTGTAAAAAACAGTCAGACCGCCAAGTTAAAAAGTCATCAAGCAGTGTGACCAAAGTTCACGTCTAGCAGAACACATGGCCACACAACAATCATTATTGTTATTTCTAGTTGTAGCCGATAGAAAGCGAGCTCGAAGTTGTTTAAAAAGTCTGATCCACTCCAATCCTTGAAATCGATCACAATTCGACAATATCACTTCTTCCATACTTTCTTCATCTTCAACCTCACACTCGTGAAGGAAATTTCTCTTCTTAGAAGGTAAGATGTTCAATAATCAATGAAAATAAGAATCTCTTTATATTTTTAAAAAAATGAAATGATATAATACTAATAAATCAACTGTGAATCAATAAAAAACAACAACCTGATTTTGCAGTATTTGTACTTTGTTCAGACTCACACGGACACGACCTCATCACACCGACACACACACCGGTAGATAAAAATGCTATGAATTGTCAAAACAACTGTGGGATATGCATCAAGAAAAAACAAAATCAAATCTGAATTGAAACAAACATGATCTTCCATCTTGGGTCAAAAACAGTTTAACAACATTTCAGCTGTGAATCGTGTAAAAAAAATAAAACATGATGGTAAAACAATTATCACCTATTTCGTCATTCTCTCTCTCATTCTCCCATCGTCACTCCATCTATCCATCCATCGTCTTGGCTGCTTCTACTACAGTGTTATTGTTTCATAGATCAATGTATAAACAAAGCTAACAATACAGACGACAATCATCATAAATGGGAGGAACCTGAAAGAAACAACCACGTGGGAAGCATCGTTTCAACTACAGTCAGAACTGACGAGGATATCAAAGCCAGAATCGGAAAAGCAAGACAGACTTTCATTACTCTTAAGTCTATGTGGAGGTCAACAGCACTCAGAATCAAAAATAAGATCCGGATTTTCAACTCCAATGTAAAGTCAGTGCTACTATACGGATCAGAGACTTGACGCGTCATAAAGAGCATCTCAAACAAACTCCAGACCTTCATTAACAGTTGTCTTCGCTCAATACTCCTCAAGATCAGATGGACAGTCAGAAAAGATCACCAACGGGGATCTCTGGCAATGAACGAACAAACACAGCAGGAACCGATTGTGAAACAAATAAGCAGGAGGAAATGGAGGTGGATTAGCCTTACTCTGAGGAAACCATCAAGTGACATCACTAGACAAGCCATTGCTCGAGTTGGACACGAAAGGGAAGCGGAGAGTTGGTCATCAGTGTGAGGGTGACTTTGAGGTGGTCATGTGAAGAGGAGGTGAAAGCATGTGAGCAGACTTGGAGCGGGGTGAAAAATTTGGCAGAAAACAGAAGGCAATGGAGGTGCGCAGCTGAAGCCCTATGTTCCTCTAGGAATTAAAGGATATAATAATAGAATATATAATACAAACGAAAAAACAACCATAACGTTGACAACTGTCCATGGTCAAACTGACATGATGGATGATCACTGGGAACAATGTAGCCAAATTGTTTGCATCAGAAAACCAATATAACATATCACCTCGAAAATTGTGACAGAATTGCATCAACATAACGTCCAATGATTGCAAATTTAACACCTGTTATCGAAAAATAACCAGAGAGTTAGTTATACACAAAGAAGAAGAGAGATAGCTAGTGGCGGTGGGGGGGGGGCGGGGAAGAGGGAGGAATGATATTATAGTTTGCAAAACAAAACAAAATTAACGATTCAATGGAGGTGAACACGTGATAAACTCATTTCACATGCAGGATGATGGTCTACAATTTCATCAGTATTTAATACATCTATTGTAACATATTTTTCAAAGCACAGAACACAACAAAAATAGGATGTACACTAAGTGAACCGATAAGTGATAAGCAGCTGATGAAATATACTATGGAAATAACAGTGACTAGACGCACACACACACACATTAGACACAAACAGCCGCTATTTAGCACTGCGGAAAATTGGAGACAAGAAAAAACAACTTACACTTATACTTTAAATAAATAGATAATTGCGGTGAGAGCAGGCTGCTAGCCAATCGGTAGACATTAATTTACGTCAGTGTCTATGTCACTAATATTGGTCGTGAGAAAATATGGACAAGGCTGATTCAACAACCAATCACAGCAGACTTAACGTCGGCAAATAAGATTCGCAAATATGTGGCTTAACTTTCCGAGGAACCAGAAACAACCAATCAGAAGACTGTGTTTGTCTGCTTGAATAAGATATAATAATGTACATGAAATATATATAAATACGTGCTGATTTCCGCAATAAAACGATTTGTTGCCGGCCCTTGTCTTCTGTTCTTACATAATCAATAGAAAAGATAGAAGGGAAAATTGTATTATGACGATGATGAAAGATGGTAAGATATCAAACCAATAAAGATCTAAAGCAAACGTCTTTTCATCAGAGCATTGCTCACTCACTCACAGTTCCATTAAAAAATAAGTTAGAGTCCAATGCTGATAAAAGTCTAATCTACACACTTGTTTACGATCAACGCATTCTGCCTAAGGTAAATATACTCGTCAAATACAATGGACAGTCTTTACACAAGCCAGATGTCATCTGTATTTCGATGGGAGCAAAAAGCAACAAACTCGCAGAAGAGGCTGGTAGCATAGACACAAATTCACCTGAACACAGAGAAAATCTAAATGATGGAAATAACCAAACAACAACAATAAGCACCAATCATTATCAATCGGAGAGATTTGAAAGAGGTTGCTTCATTCACTTATATAGGTGGCCGCCATCACTTCAACTACAGGCGGACAGCACAGATGAAGATGCCAAAATCGGAATAGGAAAGACAAGACAAACTCTCTATAACTCTGAAATCAGTTTGGAAATCTTCAGAACTACTCAGGCAGTCAGCATAAATCAGCCAGTTCTTCTTATATGAGTTAGAAAATTGACCAGCCCATCACGTGAAGCATTTTCAACAGGGTAGTGTAGACTTTTATCAACGGCTGCCTTCTCTGGTTTCACATATTGAAGATCAGATGTCCAGCCAGAGGGAATTATCAACAAGAAACTCCGGGAACAAACCAACCGAGAACCGATGGCTCAAAGAATATTCCGAATAAAGTGGAGATATATCGGACACACGATGCAGAAACCATCGAAGGACGTCGCTCGGGTGAGAACCAAATGGAAAACGAAAATTCGGGTGTGGGTTCGAGGGTGACATGGAGGAGATCGTGCAGGGGGATATGAGAAGGTATGGGCGATCGTGGGGTCAGCTAAAGGCGACGGAAGAGAATAGGATAATATAGAACGTGCTGTTTAAGCCCTATGCCACACTCGGAATCCAAGGGAACGAAAATATAATAATAAGAATTTTTCATAGTTTGGTTTGTAAGGATTAGTTATGTTTTACGAGTTGATCACGGATTGATATCAGTTAGACAACCATTGCAAACCAGGGAGTACTGGACAGCTGCTGTTTCATCCTAGTTTGGGAATCATCGGCAGTACGCACCCACTGGGATTCGAACCCAGGACCTTCCGGTTACAAGGCAAGCTCGTATACCATTCAGCCACTGGGACCCGATTCAATGGCTCATGAATTCTAACTTCTGCCAGTGCAAATAGGGAATACAGGGATTAGAATAAACAAAGTTCATCAGAGAGTGGAATATGTAAAAGAGACACCATCTAACTATATAAAGATAGTTAATAAAGAACATATGGGATATTCATATATTAAGTGATGAAAATTTCAACGGAAAATCATAGTAGTTATGGTGACGGAGTAACGACGTAGTAAAAAAAATATACACTCATACTATTTATACACTCAGAACGCAAGGGAATAATTCATTATTAATTAATACTATTTATTAGGAGCATAAAATTTATAACAAAGGAAACAGTAACAAAGATTAAATAGGCAAAGAATTATCACTGCCACCTCAACTAAACCAGTCCGGTAGTTTTCTCTAGTCTGCCTTCTAATGATGCACCAACACGATACAGCTCACTCTTGCCAGATATAATAGTTGAAGACACATCCTTGAAGGCTCTTATGCTTCATCAACGTCTTCTAATAAACAAAGCTGAAGTACAGTATATAACAGCTAATGATATCTCTAGGTGTCATCTTTTCTAATAGATTCGAATCATAAACTAGTAGGAACGGTCTGTTATTAGGTATCTCTTCTACTAATTCCGTCATATATTCGTTATTGATGATTTATCCGTGAAAACTTTGTTCTATTGAGATTGGATTAAGCAATCGAAGTATAAACTTAATCGACTTTTCCTCTACTCCTACACTGGCAGCGAGTGATGGATTCAGGTTCCATTATATGCTACTGTTTGTCATTGCATTCACAATGTGACTACTATCCAGTTCCGATACAAATAGCTCTGATTCACTATCAGATCCAACGAATGTCGTACCTTCGCTAATGCACATCTCCTCTGGAATTCGCTGACGGTTGTAAGAGAACAATTGTTCGGATACTTCAACTAACTTTGTAATTATTATCCTTTTTTCTTCAAGTTTATACATATCAATTATTATTTTGACGTTTGTGTATAACCTGTCTACTTAACCTCCATAGTTTGTCTCGGGTCTTGTTTACCCCCCCACCCCCCAATTTAAATGCGTCTCTTTGTGGTTGTCTTATCGGGTTGTTAACGTGTTGTCTTCAACTTGTGATTTTGTTTGAATAAAACGAAGATTAGCCACTGAGGTTTTGACCCTAGACTATCTCCAAGATGCATTTGATGCGTGATTACTGTTGACAGAGTTCAGATCTCACCTTATTGCAAATACTTCTCTTTATTCCCAGAACTAAATTTGTAACCTAGATACTCTTGACCTCTAACTCTAGCTGCCCAATGGTATTGTTAAGGCAGTTTGGCAGTATTAATATTATCATTCTCAAGTAAAACCACGCAGATATATATATATATATATATATATATATATATATATATATATACATATATACATCACCAAGCAACCGACTGTCAATAAACACTCATATTATATATATTATAAGGGGAATATACATTGTTAAAGGAGACAGGTTCATCAAAGTGAAGTGGTCACATGCTTAGCGAGCAAACAGAAAGAGAGACCATCATACACACACACACACATATATATATATATGGATACATATCAAAATCTAAACAAGTTTATGGTAGCAGCACGCGATTATGGAATAACCCTTAATGATTCCAAAAGTGTGATCTCAAGCAGAAGCATACAATTACTCGGTTATGAAGTTTCAAAGGGGGTTATTAAACCAGATCCCGATCGGCTAAAACCTCTTCGTGATCTAGAACCACCCACAGATATCAAATCTCAACAACGGGCCGTTGGATTATTTGCTTATTATTCACAGTGGATCCCTCGCTTCTCAGATAAAATCCACCCATTGGTAAATAATCGGATTTTCCCTCTTGATATCGAAACTCGAAATGCTTTTGACAAACTGAAAGACGACTTAGAACGTGCAGTCGTTGTGGTAGTTGATCCGAAAGCACCCCTTGTTGTTGAAACAGATGCTTCAGATGTCTCAATTGCAGCTACATTAAACCAGAATGGTAAACCTGTCGCCTTCTTTTCTCGAAGCCTCTCTCGAAGTGAGAAACATCATTCATCGGTTGAGAAAGAAGCCTATGCCGTGGTTGAAGCAATTCGTAAGTGGAAGCATTACCTTCTCGGAAATCACTTCAAACTTGTCACTGATCAACGTTCAGTAGCATTCATGTTTGACAAGATTCATAAAGGCAAAATCAAGAACGATAAAATAATGCGTTGGAGAATTGAGCTATCCCCTTATCAATATGACATCATTTATCGTCCTGGAAGGGATAATCAAGCTGCTGATACATTTTCCCGTAGTTTCTGCGGTTCCTTGCAGTCAGTGTGCGACTTGAAATTTCTCCATGACTCTATGTGCCATCCTGGAGTTGTCCGAATGATGCATTTTGTACGCTCGAGAAACCTTCCATTCTCCCTTGACGAGGTGCGCAATGTAACCAGTAAATGCGTGACATGCTGTGAGTTAAAGCCTCAATTTTACAATCCCTCTAATTTCAAACTCATAAAAGCAACCCAACCTTTTGAAAGGTTAAGCATCGACTTTAAAGGACCTCTACCGTCAGCTAGCCGCAATCACTATCTGCTCACGCTGATCGATGAATATTCTCGATTCCCCTTTGCATTCGCCTGCCCCGACATGTCGTCTCAAACGGTAATGAATTGCCTTTGCCAACTGTTTTCGATTTTCGGTATGCCTTCTTACATACATACCGACAGAGGCGCTGCTTTCATGTCTACCGAATTACGGGCATTTCTTCTGGAGAAAGGCGTAGCAACCAGTCGTACTACCTCATACAATCCTCAAGCCAATGGGCAGGTCGAGCGCCTCAATGGAACACTTTGGCGTGCCATCACTCTAGCATTAAGATCACGGGGCCTACCAACGGCACAATGGGAGTCTGTTCTACTCGACGCCTTGCATTCCATCAGATCTTTGCTCTGTACTGCAACGAACGCCACGCCACACGAACGACTGTTTACCTATAACCGAAGATCGACATCTGGGACAACTCTTCCTACTTGGCTCACTGTACCAGGACCAGTACTTCTCCGGCGGAGTGTTCGTCAGTCCAAATTCGATCCCCTGGTTGAAGAGGTGGAGCTATTGAATTGTAACCCGCAATTCGCTCACGTTCGCTTCGGTAATGGACGTGAAGATACAGTTGCTCTTCATCATCTGGCACCCAAAGGCGAAGATATAGATCAAGTTGAAAATTCAATACCGGAGGGCGACGCAATTCCTGAGCAACAAGTAAATGGGGATGCGACCACTGATCCTAATATTCTTCGTGAAGAAAATACAACTGAAACGAACAACGGGCGTATTCTTTTGGAAAAACAACAACGTGTACGGCCTTACAATTTGCGTACCAGAGAAGCGTGACATAATGGCTCATTCCTTTTCAAGCCGCAGTGAATGTTGTGAACTTTTCTTATAATACGTATCTAGTCATATTCATATCTCTACCGCTATTAACACTCTTTTTTCCTTTATATGTTTAAGCCATTCCGGCTTCATTGTAAAATGAATAAAGCCTAAATTCTTGGTTCATTCGTCTTTTCAAGATTCAAGCATCACTCATCGTTCTAAGACTCAGTCACCTTCGTAACAGAAGGGTTCTGAGTGACCTTTGAAGAACATGATTTCAGTGTTAAATCAATCATGAAATGATATGATGTTGAGTGATCTCAATGAATTCATGCACATAAGTTAGATTGAAGTGGCGCTAACTATTACTAAACGACGAAACGTGGTGATACTAGCACACAATATAGGGTGGAGATAGCCATCTTGTAGGCGTTTTTTCCTATTGCTTTGAGATATCACAACATGTTTCATCTAACCACTATGATCTCATTGTTTGTATCTTAGTCATTTGGTTACCACGGTAAAGTGTTACAGTTTCGACATCTCCAAGATATATTTAGACGAAAGTCAAGCATAGTTTATTGGCTATAAAATACGTACTGCTCAAATTCCATCAAACTTGAACCTGGTGAGCTGAGTATATGTAAAAATTTTTGGGTAGGTGACAAAACTAGAAGAGTTCATCCAATCCATGTCTTAAAAGAGAGTCATATTCTAGAATGAGTTCAAAGGAAGGCTACTTCAAGTAGGATTCGTGCTATGACTAGTTTATCAGACAAGAAGACGCTTAACAGTTTGAATCTCTTCTCCTTATCATACTGTCGGCAGAGATCATATCACAATGTTCAGAGTTCCTTTGTGCTTCCTACCAGATCAGAACACCTCAAAGAACAGCAACAGGAGTTTAAGAGCTAAGGAGGAATTATATCAGTGTAAAGTACTAGTTCTCAAATCGACTCATTGACTCTTGAAACGAACTCCAAAAAAGAAATTGATGTCTGCGCCTTTAATTGACTAGCTCAAGAAGGGATTACACAAGCACAGATACTTACTAAAAAAGGATTAACAAAGGCTTTAGGCCTTCTATTCTCAACCAAAAAAATCTGAATGTTTTACGTGTTACTAAAACAATATTCATCAAAAATGAACAGTGGAAGGTATTATTGAGGAAAATACAGACATAAGATGTATATAAAGTACAGAACATACGGTATTTGGAGACTGGAAGATCTCTCCTTTCATTTAATAGTCAAGTTACCTCCGATATATCATCATCATCATCATAAAGAAACACTCACATAACTCTATGGATGTGATCAACCGTAGAAACAAACTAACGTGATTGTTTCATTCTTAAATATCTTCGTTACCACAGTAACTGTATATCATATACGTGTCTGTGTAGGGTCGATGGAGACACGTGTAGAAGTTATGTGAGTAGTTTTACCGTCCAACAGCATTCTTCGATAAGGTGGATGGACGTCACCAGTTACTAAATAATCTCATCATCGGCTAAAAGTTACAAGCATACCTCTGAGTCACTTCTTTTTACTTCGTTTTCAGTACCAGCAGTGAACAGTTCTAAGGATTAGGTAATAGCTGACAAACGTAGGAAAACATAAATCTAAGTATGCATTGTCACACTTGATTGAAATATTCACTGAACAAAGGCAACAGGCATTAACCAAAAGCACAAGGTTATATGCAAGCCCATAAACCAATAGGATTAGTATAACATATTCACACATCGCAAGTTTTCTCGGATGGTCGATTGACGTTCCGTTTCAGAAACACACATGACTCCTTGACTGAACCTTGTCTATTTGAATAAACAAATCACTATAGCCTCCAACCACACAATTTATCAGATCCAAGAGAATGACCGACCCCGTAGTGACCACGAGACACCCAAATCAGAGTTTGGGCGTGCAGTGATGATATCACAAAAGAAGGAGTTCACCATCAGTAACTCAAGGTAGTAGATTTAATCATGGAAGAGCGCTTAAAAAGGCAGATGTTACACTTCAAGCGCCAAAGCAGTGGGACGTACCGCACTAATTACTTGAAGAAGGTTAATTTTACGTACAAAGGATATATATTTATGAAAATAATGAATACAGTGTCATGAAACTGTAACATAGGATCTTTTTTCCCCTGGAGCAAATAAACCATATTCACCTAAGTCTTCTAATCCTAACTCTATTCCACCTTTAACCTACTACTAATGCAGAATTACTCCTAAACTGGACCTAATCTAACTAGATCCAATCCTAATATCTCTCTTATCAGGTTAACCTGACCCAATCTCGGTTCTCAGATCAAACTTCAGCCTAATCTTTTCCAGTCCTTACCAAATGTTCCGTTTAATGTCGTAATATTTTACTGAGCATATTTTATCCATGATCACTAACTTTCTCACTCAACAATCCTTGGTCATTGGTACGGTCGCACTCCATTGGTGCTTAAATGTTAGATTGGCCATTAAAAGCAAATCATAATTCCTAACTTCTACTTTGAACTCTGTATTCTATCTCGCAACTTTACCCGCGTAACCTAAACTACAGACATTTTGAACAATGCCAACAATTCGATTTGAAACTAGAAATTATTCTCGTGACACCTTTGAATTATAGAATTTGTTTATCATTCATTAATGTGCTTTATTTACCTGAATTAGTCTGGTTTGCTCTAAGCGACTACTTTAACATCCCCTTCGTCATTATTCTCCCTAGCCTGGCAAACGTACAAAAGAAACGCCTTGCTGACATGAAAGCCGCACAATACTAGCCAGCAGTATGAATTTGTCATCAAGTTGTAGTAGTAACCTTATTCAGCAATGCAATCTTTACCACAGTATCAAGATACTGGCAGTCCGAAAGATAGCTGAAATCTTACCGCGGTGATCAGACTAGAATGTCACAATGACCCAACGAACTACCCTGGCTGTAACTAATGTTCCCACTGATTCCATCATGCCAGAAAGATCGTTTTGATAGCGGTTGTAGTGTAAATTGCTTCTACTATGTTGGAGGTCTGTGAGCGTAGTCGTACCTGCTAAGAAGTGAGGATATAACAGCGGTAAGCTGTTTCCTCCAGATGACCAAGCCAACTATGCTGCCGCTCTCAACTCTGGAGAGAGGGATGGGCTGAAAAATGGTCATTCCCGAAAAGCGTACAACCCGGATTACTCCGTGGTGATGGCCTGTGGCCCAAGGTAAGATCTTAATATGGGTAAAACTTCAAAAACCACTTCAGACAGACCGTGTGTAATGGGCAATCGCCCCCCTCAGGTGTTCGGCAGTAAAGCAATATTAATGCCTTCTTTTGGTTTCATATAATCCAATAAAAATTCAGCTTATACCGTGTGAGCAAACAAGAAGAAATAACCGGTCACACGCAGACTTCAAAAAACAATCAGTTGGTTAGGGAAAAAAAGTAAAAGTAAGATAAGGGTTGAAATAAAAACACGATTATTACTCACTTGTGGTGGTTGATTCTTTTTAGCATCCATGGATATCTCTGAGGTTTTAGAATATTATATACAATTGTTTTGAGAAGTGTTCACATAAAGAACACCACCACCAGCAACAATAGATGATGGGATGGCAGGAATTAGTCGGGTACTGATCGTAGTCAAAGTGCTAGCATCCCCTGTCGAAGTAGTATTTTCTGTCGCAATCATGGCAACAGTAGCAGGAGTAGTAGTAGTGCTTGTTGGTATGTTAGTAATAGTAGTGGTATTATTGCTACTGTTATTACTATCTGAGAGTTAAATCAATAACTGGATAATGATTATTAGTCAAAAGGACAGTAGCCATCCTAGTACTTGTAGAATGATGAGTCATTAGTGCTTGAGCATTATTTGGAATAGAATAATAACATACCGATGAATCGCTTGATAGATGACGGTATAGATACTGTTGAACTGATGGTATATCCGTAGGTACAGTTGAAGTAGTATCCACCATAAATAAGATACGCGAACCAAAGAATACAATATTTGATTAGTACATTAACTTCCAATTAACACCACATAGGAGACTAAGTAATAAGCTAAACACAATACAAATGTATCCAAGACAATTAAAATCTGAATCATAAACACTGCCATCCCCCACTGACAATTAAGCTCCATTATGCCATCTTAAACTTGATGAGTTGGAACACTTCCCAACTATCTCCCCATATGAGAAAATTTTGATGCATAAAAATAGCACTCAGATTACTTTTTTGACAAATCCTCTAAACGAAGCAACAATCCATCACGGTATGCAACCTAAGCTGTCAACAGTTGATAGGGAAGTCAAGTGTTGTATGCATCACCAACAGGTTTTTATAAGGCTTCAGACAAACTTTCTTCTCATAGAACTAGCATCAAGATGAGACGTGTTATCAGAATAGTGTTAAATATTACAGCGAAATAGACAGCTGAAGGTTAAGAACTGACTGACTGGCTTCAACATAGAACTCTGCACAGAAAGACAGCAGTTTGAGTCGCCAAACCTCATGTGCCACACAAAGGGAGACAAAAGAACAGCGAAATAGCATGGGATGGAAGTGTCGAAAATACAGAATATAACGATGTTATTTAGAGAATACGATCATCTGTTCATTGAAGATGGGGACTCTTACGGTTGTTATAATAAGATGAAGCATGAAATCCCAATGACCGGTCGGAAAATAACACCATTCACAACACGAAGAGTCCTGTGTCATTCAGAAGAAGTTGAGTGACAAGTGGTGTTAAAAGATGATACAATTGAAGAAGTTGACAGCCTGTAACACTTCGCAGTCTTTTTTGTGGAAAAAAATAAGTGGGAAGTACAGATTCTATGCTGACTTCCGACAGTTACAACAGCATAACAGAACCGAGACCTTCTGCTGTGCCAGCTGCAGCAGAAACCCTAGATCGCCTACGGAGTGGAAATTTGCTTACAGCTCCCGACCTCCAGTCAGGATGCTAGCAGATATCGATAAAATAAGGAGACAGAAACAAGACATCGTTCAGAGAGGGGCAGAAACAATATAGTTTTAAACGCATGTCGTCTGGGTTGGCAGGTGCACCCTTCACATTCAGATGGCTAGTGACGTCGTTGCTTAGAGTCAAAGAAGGTGGAGGCGTACGCCAATGATCTCAAACTGAAAGTGATCATGTGAAACACGTCGACGCCGTGTTAAAAGGCAATGAAGAGCCTGGACTGCACAACAACAAAACAAAAACTCAGATAGCGGAATGGAGTAGTTACGCTGTTGGGACAGTACCCAGTGGAACATAGGGCTTCAGCCGCACGCCACTACTATGTTCGGTCCTGCGCCAACGTTTTCACCTGGCTCCACGTCTGTCCACATTCTCTCATCTCCTCTTCCTTCGCATGACCTCCTTTATGCCACCCTCGGACGACCAACTCGCCGCTTCGTGAGATAAAACCGCTGCCTGAGAAAATCTTGACGACAAAGACCAAAGTCCCCAAATTCAAAGACGAAACTACAACAGTTCTTGGGGACAGCAGTGTTTTATAGTTGGTTAGTGAAAAACTTCAATGAGACATTGGCTACTAAGTGGGTCAAAGTTTGTTTAGTCGGAAGATTTGCAGAAGATATTCAACAGCACTAAACAGATTTTAGACCACCAGAAAATGACGCCGAAACTACGGGTACCTAGACAACAGTTCAAAATGTCCACAGATGCGAGTGATAACGGAATAGGTGCACTGCTAAGACAGGAATCATCCAGTATACCAGTCGTGTTCTAACACCCACAGGGCACAGGTATTCAACGGTCGAGAATGTGTTTATTAACAGCGTGGGCGTTACACAAATGGAAACCTTATCTATAGGGTCAGCAGTTCCATATGGAAACTGATCATAAGCCGCTACGGTGACCAAAGACAGAGCCAGACACACGTAGTAAATTGTCGCGGTGGATGTTGTGCCTGCAGGAGCAAAACTTCACGGTCTCTAACGTTCCAGGGAAGAAAATTGTTACGAAGGTGACTGAGTCTTAGGACGATGAGTGATGCTTGAATCTTGAAAAGACGAATGAACCAAGAATTTAGGCTTTATTCATTTTACAATGAAGCCGGAATGGCTTAAACATATAAAGGGAAAAAAGAGTGTTAATAGCGGTAGAGATATGAATATGATTAGATACGTATTATAAGAAAAGTTCACAACATTCACTGTGGCTTGAAAAGGAATGAGCCATTATGTCACGCTTCTCTGGTACGCAAATTGTAAGGCCGTACACGTTGTTGTTTTTCCAAAAGAATACGCCCGTTGCTTGTTTCAGTTGTATTTTCTTCGCGAAGAATATTAGGATCAGTGGTCGCATCCCCATTTACTTGTTGCTCAGGAATTGCGTCGTCCTCCGGTATTGAATTTTCAACTCGATCAATATCTTCGCCTTTGGGTGCCAGATGATGAAGAGCAACTGTATCTTCACGTCCATTACCGAAGCGAACGTGAGCGAATTGCGGGTTACAATTCAATAGCTCCACCTCTTCAACCAGAGGATCGAATTTGGACTGACGAACACTCCGCCGGAGAAGTACTGGTCCTGGTACAGTGAACCAAGTAGGAAGAGTTGTCCCAGATGTCGATCTTCGGTTATAGGTAAACAGTCGTTCGTGTGGCGTGGCGTTCGTTGCAGTACAGAGCAAAGATCTGATGGAATGCAAGGCGTCGAGTAGAACAGACTCGCATTGTGCCGTTGGTAGACCCCGTGATCTTAATGCTAGAGTGATGGCACGCCAAAGTGTTCTATTGAGTCGCTCGACCTCCCCATTGGCTTGGGGATTGTATGAGGTAGTACGACTGGTTGCTACGCCTTTCTCCAGAAGAAATGCCCGTAAGCGTGACATAATGGCTCATTCCTTTTCAAGCCGCAGAGAATGTTGTGAACTTTTTTTTATAATGCGTATCTAATCATATTCATATCTCTACCGCTATTAACACTCTTTTTATGGCGTTCGTTTGACGTAACAAGAACTTGAGCTCGCCAAGGAGAATTAGGAGGTTCATTAACACCTTCTTGCAGCAACCGGTTGACTTCGGTGGAAATAAAACTTTCATCTTCATAAGAATAACGCCGGGATTTTATTGCGGTCGGTTTACAGTCTTTTGAAAGATTTTCAAACAGAGTAGGCAGGTCGACGCGAACACAAGGTAGACCACAGAGAGAAAAAGGCGGCTTTGATCCCCCAAAAGGAATCTCAATGTGTTTGTGAAGTTTTAAAAAATCATGTCCAAGAAGGACGTCTGCACATAAATTATGAAGAATGGAAAATTTGAATAGATCATAAGTATGGTTTTTATAGCAGATGGATAGAAAACAATGTCCTTCAGTATGACTAGTAAGATTCGTACTCGCCATTGTGATTCTGTTTCGAGACTTATGGACTTTCCAGTTATACTTACGAACAACTGAGGAAGGGATGTAGCTCTCACTGCTTCCGGTATCCACTAGAGCTTGCATTGATTTCCCATTGACAGTAAGCTGCGTAACAGCATCAGTGAGACTTTGAGGTGCTGAAGCCACAACGAGAGATGAAATTATAGAGTTAACTGAAGATGGACCTTTTTTCGTAGATGGCGCAGACCTGCAAACCTTCTGAAAATGTCCTTGCTTGCCACAAGCTTTGCAAATTGCATCACGGGCGGGGCATTTGGAACGAGGATGTCTACGATTACCACAGAAAAAGCATTTGGATTCAACGGCAGCAATGGTTGTTTCATTGACGGAGGGTGTGGAATCTGATGAATGAGGTACATCATGTAAAGAAATGGACGCGCAAGGTGTAACAGGATTGTTGTATGACTGCGATTGTTGATGTGCCATCTCTAGAGCTCGTGCTTGATCGTATGCCGCTTGAAAAGTTAAAGTACGCTGTTCTAATAGCCTCTGGCGTATCATCGAAGACTGTATACCTGAGATGAATGAATCACGTAGTGATTCGTTACGATGTTCTTCGGCTGTAACCGCTCTGAATGAACAATCTGTAGTCAGCGACTTGAGTCGACGAACAAACTGATCCAGATTTTCGCCAGATTCTTGTTTACACGTTGCTAACAAGTGTCGAGCAAACACTTCGTTGCAAGGCTGCATGTAGAGACTCTTGAGAGTGTCGATAGCTTCTTCGTATGTTTTGCATTCAGAAATGCATTCGTATACAGAAGTAGAAATATGATTGAAGAGAATATGTAGTTTCGAAGGATTTTCGGATCCCATTGATTCAATGAAGTAGGAAAAAGTCGCAAACCAGTGATCCCACTTCTTGGCAGCTCCAACTGCGTTAGGTTCTACGTCGAACCGATCAGGTCGGAAAAATCGTTCCATGAATATTGTAAAATGAATAAATTGTTACGAAGGTGACTGAGTCTTAGAACGATGAGTGATGCTTGAATCTTGAAAAGACGAATGAACCAAGAATTTAGGCTTTATTCATTTTACAATGAAGCCGGAATGGCTTAAACATATAAAGGGAAAAAAGAGTGTTAATAGCGGTAGAGATATGAATATGATTAGATACGTATTATAAGAAAAGTTCACAACAAAAGTATTGCCGGCAGATTTTTTATCTAGACTGGAAGATGAAGTTGAGTCACAAGAAATCGCATACGGACTACATGCATTGGAACAATATCCATTAAGACTTGCCTGTAATCAAAGATCCGACCCTACTCTGAACACAGTCATACAGGTGATCACTGACAGGATGGAAGTCAGTCAACCTACAGCGGATGGAGAGCTAACGATGTTATATAGGCAGAAGGATCAATTACGACTGAACGCCTGCAGAACTTTGACTTGATGAGAGAACGATGGAAGCTGTTTGGCAGTAATACCTCAGTCCCTATGCCATGAGACGATACAAGAATGTCACCAGCTAGCATATACAGAGGTAGGCAGAACAACTGTCCTCTTGAGACAAAGCGTATACTGGCCGGGTATGAGAGATGAGGCAAAATATCTACTTGGATGTCCACAGTGCCAGTTGATGAAAGGAGGTCGGTGCATACAAGCACCTCTGCAATCGATCCCAGTTACGGCAGTAGGTGACTTGTGTTTCGTAGGTGTAATGGGATCCTTTCGAGTGAAATCCAGTGGCAATAAATACTTCCTGGTGATGATGAGACACGCTACACGATGGGTAAATACCATCTAGATCCCGGATCAACGCGCAGTGACCGATGCAGTAGTTTGACAAATCGTCACAGACCACGGTGTACCAAAGACGATGCTGAAAGATTATGGTCCCTATTTTGAAAGTGAAGAATTTACATACCATTTGCAATAGCTAGGTATCATCAAGATTAGAACAACACCATATTATCCACAAGCGAACGGTTTGAAAGAGAAATAACCGTACACTGAGGAGGTGGCTGGTCTCAGAGAGAGGTAACTGGGAGTTTCCATTAATTTTACCATCACATCGCCACCGTTCCAGTTGATGTATGGTAGGAAACCAGGACTACTAATACAAGTACAACCTGGCCCCTTCAACAAGAGTGAAGTATGCCATGATCGCGAACGGAATAGAAGCCATCAGGAATGTAAAGTACACACAGAAGGTGGATGGTGAGAGATTAGAAGAGATAAACAAGAAGAAATGCATAACATTTGAAGTCGGAGATCAAGTGAAGTGTTAAGAAAGTATACAATCGGATGCAGACCAAGTTGACGGAAAACTCCCAAAGTCAGGTTTATTTTTATTTTTTTTTAATTTTTTATTTACAGCTTGATTCCACACTGTATTTTCGGTACAAGTATGGAATTTTCAGCATGGATATCGGTAGCCCAAATTTTGCAGGCCGACCATAGATATCAGATGTGCGTCGGTGCGGGCTCGAACCCCGGACCATGTGCATGGTCGGCGAGAGTCCTAACCACTGTGCCACCGACGCACAGGTGGACTATACGCTGTAACCGAGAGATGTGGTCCCGTCTATGCCGTAAGAAGAGGAGACAAACAGAAAGGTATTAACGCCAACCAACCTCAGAGACAGAAAGAGTGGGATAAGTAAGCCGACAACAAGAGACAAAACGAGTGGGTAGCACCAAGATGGTCATAGTGATTCCGTTCAAAATTATTTGATGAGGGGGAAATGTGATGGTTGCTACAGGCAAGATTTATAAGATAAAGATTGATAGGAAGCGGACAAAACTGAAATCAACATTTTAAGCCAATGGCTGCAAGGATAAAAGTGTTTGTCCCTTAAGTATGGATTTAGTTCACGTTGTGGTCAGGAAGTAATCTCATTGGACAACTTTTTGTCTCATGGTTTAACCTTGGGCCAGTCGCCAGCCAATCTGAAAAGTTTATTATCCGCTGAACTAGCTGACACTGAATGTGGTTAAAAGGGCATAAATATGATGGCATTTCTTCCCAATAAAAAACGTTCGTTCTCTTCTGCTGTTGCAAGCTGACTAAAAGTCTTTGCAACAACGGCGAACAATGGTGGGTGAAAAAAGCACTGGAAACCGAAAAAGGTATTAGCAGTAGGTAATAACTGTCAACTATTTCGACTTGTACAAATCAAGAACAACAATTATACCAGAATAAAGTGAGCTTATGTTTTATTATTTCGAGGATTCCTCTCAACTGGCTACAACCTAAACAATACAGAAAGAATTAACTATACCAAAGATTTGAACATACTTTCACCACGATGACAAGGAGTAATAGGTAGCAACTAAGACAAATGGAACGATGTAAGTTGTTGAAACGGGTTGACTATTTATGAAATAATTAGACGAAAATGCTTGAAAGCAAAAAGACGAAGTTCACGAATTTTTTTGTCAAGAAACAAAGTTCAACTAGAAACAGTATAACGTGCCAAAGCGCATATACTTGAAGAACAACGAGCAGGGTTAGTTTCCGCATTTCTGAGCACATACCAAATAGTCTGAGACCAAAAGGCTTACAGGCATTAGAACATGAGATTGCGCGCCATCTATTGGACACCGGCATTGTTGAGAACGATTTGAAGGCGTCCAAAACAATCAATAGGAAAAATAAACCTAGCTTGCTTGAGACTTTTTCGTGGGGCAATCACAATTAAACGATTAAAACCAAATCTATGTACACAGAAGGAGATAGTGATGAAATCTTGCAGTACTTTGGTAACTTAACTTACAAGGTAAAAATTTTATTACATCATGTCCTTTCCTACATTTTCTGTCCTATCCCAAGCGGAACATAAAGCTTCAAGCTTTTACGCTTTGGAGTTTCCGTAGCCGTAGCGTTGTTTCCACAAGGTAAATGGGTTATTAGCCTCATATTTTCAACCCCAACTCTTTACCAGATTTATTACTACGGGCTAAGCTAGGTTTAAAAGTGTATGTCGGACGGAAATTGAAACTGGACCACTTACGTCTTGGTTTGCGAGCATTCCTACCACTGCTGGACAACTGAAGACTTACGACGGGGATACCGATTGCCGTCATTTTTTTATTCAAAATTATGAATATACTAATGATATATATATATATATATATCGTTGTAAGGTGATTGGAAGCATCGACAAGAAAACTTGGACCTAGGTTTCGTGCTAGTTGGCACTCGTCTACAAGGCGTATCCGCCATCTTGAAGGAACACAGGTCCCCTCTGAGATTCGGACCCGTGTCAGCCAGTGCTGCAGTCAGATAAGTTACCACTGGGCTTTTCGGGTCACCACTGATCTTATGTAGGACTGCAATGGATATTCTAATTGGACATTACGCAGTAACTAATCTCTAGTCAAAACCTCGCCTAGTTAACTAGCTTGCTAGCTTTCTAACAGGTTCCAAGCCCGGGTAAAGAGGGGGTGTTGGGCGTAGGACTAGCAACCCTACACCAATAAAGCTATCAAACCACAATGTCTATATCATCTAATTTTGTAAGCCGTCATGCAAAATTGTTCGCATAGCGGTTAGTTGTGCGTCGGTGGTACAGTGGTTAGGACTCTCGCCGACCATGCACATGGTTCGAGGTTCGATCCCCTGCAGATGCACACCTGATATCTATGGTCGGCCGGCAAAATTTGGGCTACCGATATCCACGCTGAAAATTCCATACTTGCATCAAAAATACAGTGTGGAATCAAGCTGTAATCAAAAATTAAAAAATAAAATAAACTTCAACACATTAAAAATATATTAGAAATATAGAAAGTCCACATAACAACAATCTTATTCTTTGCTCGAATCAGGTAGGCGAAATAACACAGCAGGCTGATGAAAACCCACCTTCGGGAAGCCACTCAGTCAGCCGAAATGTCTTCTCTCGATGAAAACAAGCAAGAATTAGAATGGGGACGCGGAAAGTCCGTACAATGTACGAGACTGGGAAGGCTTCCCAGGTAGCCAAAGAAATGCAAAGATATGCTCTAGAATAGCTGGATATCTGCGAGAGTAGATGGAATGGATGACGATTGCCAAAATTCCCAACTAGAGAGTCACTAATCTACTCTGGTCACCCAGACGACAACCACGAACAAACTCGCAGAAGAGGCTGGTAGCATAGACACAAATTCACCTGAACACAGAGAAAATCTAAATGATGGAAATAACCAAACAACAACAATAAGCACCAATCATTATCAATCGGAGAGATTTGAAAGAGGTTGCTTCATTCACTTATATAGGTGGCCGCCATCACTTCAACTACAGGCGGACAGCACAGATGAAGATGTCAAAATCGGAATAGGGAAGACAAGACAAACTCTCTATAACTCTGAAATCAGTTTGGAAATCTTCAGAACTACTCAGGCAGTCAGCATAAATCAGCCAGTTCTTCTTATATGAGTTAGAAAATTGACCAGCCCATCACGTGAAGCATTTTCAACAGGGTAGTGTAGACTTTTATCAACGGCTGCCTTCTCTGGTTTCACATATTGAAGATCAGATGTCCAGCCAGAGGGAATTATCAACAAGAAACTCTGGGAACAAACCAACTGAGAACCGATGGCTCAAAGAATATTCCGAATAAAATGGAGATAGATTAGACACATACTGAGGAGACTGTCGAATGATGCAGCGCGCCACACAATTCGAGTGAAACCCGGATGGTAAATGACGAGTTGGGCTTGTGTACGAGAGTTACGAGGAGATCGTGCGGGGATCAAGTGAGACTACGGGCAATCGTGGGACATCTAAGGAAGACTGTAGAGAGAAGGACAAAGTGGAGATACGTTCCAGTCGGAGCCCAAGGGAACAATAATAAATAAATCTGACTGACGTGCCAGTTAGTGATTATTTAACTTGAAATCAATCAAATCCATTTACAAGCCTACTCCACTTCAACATAAAAATTAATAAACAAACCAGTTTGTCTGTCTGTCTGGATTCAACATAGAACTTGGCACCGAAGTGCAGCAGTTCGAGTTGCCACCTAAAAAAGAAACCAGTTTACAAAAGTGATAGACAGCAAGCTAAAAATATATATTACCGTTTTCGTTTAGTAGAAACGCATTTACTGTTGGCATTTTTATTGTCAATATTACCTTGAGATAATGATTCGGGAGACTTTACTACACCGTCACCTGGTGTTCGTGGTAGATGTGGATAGACATAAGCCGTAAGCCCTCACCTGGCTGTATGAGTACGAGTAGAGTGCCTTAATCAGTGCAATATATTTTCTTGGAATTCCCTTTACAGCCAAGCATCTCCATAGAACTTCCCGATCGACAGAGTCGAATGCTGCCTTTAGGTCAAGAAATATAATGACTGTTGGACGCCGGTAGGAATGTCTACGATACTGGCCGTCAACTGAAGCAGAACAGGCTGGCCGAAGGCAAAAGAGATCTCAGGATATTATATAAAATAACCAGGTCTCTATCCGGAAAAAGATCAACCCACATGTTGAAATCAATAAAAGATGCTCAAGGGAACCTGATCATCAAGGAGGAGAAACAAGTCAAACAATGGGCTGATCACTTCAAAGGACTCTTGAATCGACCATCACCTGCAACTTACCCAGAAATACTATGCAAGGAACTGCTAGTGGACACCAATCCTCCAGCGAAAGCAGAAGTTCTGAAAGCGATCAAGCTACTGAGGTTCGGAAAGGCAGCATGACCGGACGGAATTCACCTTCAAAGTACTGAAACTGCAGCAGATGCTCTCACGCCATTATTACAAAAGGCTTGGAAGGAAGGGAAGGTGCCTGCTGACAGGAAGGAAGGCTACCTCGTCAAGCTACCAGAGAAGGGCAACCTAGGTCTGTGCAAGAACTGGCGTAGAATCATGCTCTTGTCCACGCAAAATGAAATACTAAGTCGCATCATCCTGGAAAGGGTGAAAGACGCACTGGATACAGGACTCCCACCCTGAACAAGCTGGATACAGAAAAGGCAAATCATGTGCTGATTAAATTGCAACTCTACTCATCGTCATCACAGAAAAAAGCATAGAACGGTAATCAAACTTCTCTCCACCTCAACTACATCGACTTCGAAAACGCTTTCGACAGTGCAGTGTTGACGAAGAAGTAATCTGGAAACTACTTCAAAACTAGAACGTCCAATGCAGAAATCTTTCCCAACCCCATTCAACTGCATGCTACGCGGGAGTGCCACGTGTCAGGTGATCCACAACGGGAAACCCAGCGACGAGCTTTAAGTACATATAGCAATAAGAGAGGGCGGTCTACTATCACCGATGATATTCATTGTGGCAGATTCAATTATGCGTAGGACTGTGTGGAGCGACGACACACGGGTACGCTTGAAACTCAACACATTTTTATATTTCATCCGTATTTGCATTCAATCGGTTATGTACGATCAAAAGATAAAGTGCCATTTTAGAATACATTTGGTAACTGAAATTGTTCACAGTAAAGTGTATGACCTGCTTTCTTTCTTACAAATTGAGTATGTCTGAACTTCTGACTTGAAGTGATCTACAATGGGGGTGAAGTAGTTTGAGAAACTACCTTTCTGTAGCTATTGGTAACCAAAACAGTTTCATATGCTATTCGATCAAATCAAATTCTGGAGCCCGTGTTCACCATCATAGGTTTCAAATCGTGGTTTTCAAGCTTTTGTAAGAAGATCTGCATGTCCACCAATTCATTTTTGAGCATCAGACGTTCACGTTAGCTCTTCCACCTTTGTGAATAACATTCCCCGCCACTCACCAACTATGCGCCTTGTACGGAGTTCGATCCCCGACCGACGCATACATAAGCCTCGTTTATCTAGTAGGGAGCCTGGTAAAGAGAGAAAGTCAGGCTGGAAATCCCACTCTGTAAAAAGAAACATTACTACTACTGAAACTTCAGTGCTGAAAGCTTGATCTCCTAAGTTCCACTGGGAACGCAAAGTAATAAAATACAAAATAAACAGTAAAGCATTAGATGAAAAGCAAATCATATTCGAATCTAATATCAACTATACGAATCATCATCGAACGAAGTAAAAATTAGCAGTAAAACCTCTACATCAATTCCATTGACTCTGAAATGGTCGTTGACAGCGCTGACCACGAAGTAACTTGGAAACTACTTCAATGCTGCGGCGTGCAGTGCTCCGAATCCTCATAAACCTCATTCAAAAGCTATTTAACAGTGCCATATGTCAGGTGATCCACAACGGAAAACTCAGCCAAGCCTTCGAAGTATGCATAGGAGTAAGACAAGGCAGCCCACTATCACAGATGGCATTCCTAATCGTGAACTGGGTTATGCACCAGATTGTGGGCAGGGAGAAGATAGGAATATGTTAGACCGACAAGAAGACTCCAGAAGACTTGGATTTCGTGGACGACTTGTGTCTAATGTCACACGAACTCGAAGACTTACAAGCGAAAACCAACAAACTCGCAGAAGAGGCTGGTAGCATAGACACAAATTCACCTGAACACAGAGAAAATCTAAATGATGGAAATAACCAAACAACAACAATAAGCACCAATCATTATCAATCGGAGAGATTTGAAAGAGGTTGCTTCATTCACTTATATAGGTGGCCGCCATCACTTCAACTACAGGCGGGCAGCACAGATGAAGATGTCAAAATCGGAATAGGGAAGACAAGACAAACTCTCTATAACTCTGAAATCAGTTTGGAAATCTTCAGAACTACTCAGGCAGTCAGCATAAATCAGCCAGTTCTTCTTATATGAGTTAGAAAATTGACCAGCCCATCACGTGAAGCATTTTCAACAGGGTAGTGTAGACTTTTATCAACGGCTGCCTTCTCTGGTTTCACATATTGAAGATCAGATGTCCAGCCAGAGGGAATTATCAACAAGAAACTCTGGGAACAAACCAACCGAGAACCGATGGCTCAAAGAATATTCCGAATAAAATGGAGATAGATTAGACACATACTGAGGAGACTGTCGAATGATGCAGCGCGCCACACAATTCGAGTGAAACCCGGATGGTAAATGACGAGTTGGGCTTGTGTACGAGAGTTACGAGGAGATCGTGCGGGGATCAAGTGAGACTACGGGCAATCGTGGGACATCTAAGGAAGACTGTAGAGAGAAGGACAAAGTGGAGATACGTTCCAGTCGGAGCCCAAGGGAACAATAATAAATAAATCTGACTGACGTGCCAGTTAGTGATTATTTAACTTGAAATCAATCAAATCCATTTACAAGCCTACTCCACTTCAACATAAAAATTAATAAACAAACCAGTTTGTCTGTCTGTCTGGATTCAACATAGAACTTGGCACCGAAGTGCAGCAGTTCGAGTTGCCACCTAAAAAAGAAACCAGTTTACAAAAGTGATAGACAGCAAGCTAAAAATATATATTACCGTTTTCGTTTAGTAGAAACGCATTTACTGTTGGCATTTTTATTGTCAATATTACCTTGAGATAATGATTCGGGAGACTTTACTACACCGTCACCTGGTGTTCGTGGTAGATGTGGATAGACATAAGCCGTAAGCCCTCACCTGGCTGTATGAGTACGAGTAGAGTGCCTTAATCAGTGCAATATATTTTCTTGGAATTCCCTTTACAGCCAAGCATCTCCATAGAACTTCCCGATCGACAGAGTCGAATGCTGCCTTTAGGTCAAGAAATATAATGACTGTTGGACGCCGGTAGGAATGCCTACGATACTGGCCGTCAACTGAAGCAGAACAGGCTGGCCGAAGGCAAAAGAGATCTCAGGATATTATATAAAATAACCAGGTCTCTATCCGGAAAAAGATCAACCCACATGTTGAAATCAATAAAAGATGCTCAAGGGAACCTGATCATCAAGGAGGAGAAACAAGTCAAACAATGGGCTGATCACTTCAAAGGACTCTTGAATCGACCATCACCTGCAACTTACCCAGAAATACTATGCAAGGAACTGCTAGTGGACACCAATCCTCCAGCGAAAGCAGAAGTTCTGAAAGCGATCAAGCTACTGAGGTTCGGAAAGGCAGCATGACCGGACGGAATTCACCTTCAAAGTACTGAAACTGCAGCAGATGCTCTCACGCCATTATTACAAAAGGCTTGGAAGGAAGGGAAGGTGCCTGCTGACAGGAAGGAAGGCTACCTCGTCAAGCTACCAGAGAAGGGCAACCTAGGTCTGTGCAAGAACTGGCGTAGAATCATGCTCTTGTCCACGCAAAATGAAATACTAAGTCGCATCATCCTGGAAAGGGTGAAAGACGCACTGGATACAGGACTCCCACCCTGAACAAGCTGGATACAGAAAAGGCAAATCATGTGCTGATTAAATTGCAACTCTACTCATCGTCATCACAGAAAAAAGCATAGAACGGTAATCAAACTTCTCTCCACCTCAACTACATCGACTTCGAAAACGCTTTCGACAGTGCAGTGTTGACGAAGAAGTAATCTGGAAACTACTTCAAAACTAGAACGTCCAATGCAGAAATCTTTCCCAACCCCATTCAACTGCATGCTACGCGGGAGTGCCACGTGTCAGGTGATCCACAACGGGAAACCCAGCGACGAGCTTTAAGTACATATAGCAATAAGAGAGGGCGGTCTACTATCACCGATGATATTCATTGTGGCAGATTCAATTATGCGTAGGACTGTGTGGAGCGACGACACACGGGTACGCTTGAAACTCAACACATTTTTATATTTCATCCGTATTTGCATTCAATCGGTTATGTACGATCAAAAGATAAAGTGCCATTTTAGAATACATTTGGTAACTGAAATTGTTCACAGTAAAGTGTATGACCTGCTTTCTTTCTTACAAATTGAGTATGTCTGAACTTCTGACTTGAAGTGATCTACAATGGGGGTGAAGTAGTTTGAGAAACTACCTTTCTGTAGCTATTGGTAACCAAAACAGTTTCATATGCTATTCGATCAAATCAAATTCTGGAGCCCGTGTTCACCATCATAGGTTTCAAATCGTGGTTTTCAAGCTTTTGTAAGAAGATCTGCATGTCCACCAATTCATTTTTGAGCATCAGACGTTCACGTTAGCTCTTCCACCTTTGTGAATAACATTCCCCGCCACTCACCAACTATGCGCCTTGTACGGAGTTCGATCCCCGACCGACGCATACATAAGCCTCGTTTATCTAGTAGGGAGCCTGGTAAAGAGAGAAAGTCAGGCTGGAAATCCCACTCTGTAAAAAGAAACATTACTACTACTGAAACTTCAGTGCTGAAAGCTTGATCTCCTAAGTTCCACTGGGAACGCAAAGTAATAAAATACAAAATAAACAGTAAAGCATTAGATGAAAAGCAAATCATATTCGAATCTAATATCAACTATACGAATCATCATCGAACGAAGTAAAAATTAGCAGTAAAACCTCTACATCAATTCCATTGACTCTGAAATGGTCGTTGACAGCGCTGACCACGAAGTAACTTGGAAACTACTTCAATGCTGCGGCGTGCAGTGCTCCGAATCCTCATAAACCTCATTCAAAAGCTATTTAACAGTGCCATATGTCAGGTGATCCACAACGGAAAACTCAGCCAAGCCTTCGAAGTATGCATAGGAGTAAGACAAGGCAGCCCACTATCACAGATGGCATTCCTAATCGTGAACTGGGTTATGCACCAGATTGTGGGCAGGGAGAAGATAGGAATATGTTAGACCGACAAGAAGACTCCAGAAGACTTGGATTTCGTGGACGACTTGTGTCTAATGTCACACGAACTCGAAGACTTACAAGCGAAAACCAACAAACTCGCAGAAGAGGCTGGTAGCATAGACACAAATTCACCTGAACACAGAGAAAATCTAAATGATGGAAATAACCAAACAACAACAATAAGCACCAATCATTATCAATCGGAGAGATTTGAAAGAGGTTGCTTCATTCACTTATATAGGTGGCCGCCATCACTTCAACTACAGGCGGGCAGCACAGATGAAGATGTCAAAATCGGAATAGGGAAGACAAGACAAACTCTCTATAACTCTGAAATCAGTTTGGAAATCTTCAGAACTACTCAGGCAGTCAGCATAAATCAGCCAGTTCTTCTTATATGAGTTAGAAAATTGACCAGCCCATCACGTGAAGCATTTTCAACAGGGTAGTGTAGACTTTTATCAACGGCTGCCTTCTCTGGTTTCACATATTGAAGATCAGATGTCCAGCCAGAGGGAATTATCAACAAGAAACTCTGGGAACAAACCAACCGAGAACCGATGGCTCAAAGAATATTCCGAATAAAATGGAGATAGATTAGACACATACTGAGGAGACTGTCGAATGATGCAGCGCGCCACACAATTCGAGTGAAACCCGGATGGTAAATGACGAGTTGGGCTTGTGTACGAGAGTTACGAGGAGATCGTGCGGGGATCAAGTGAGACTACGGGCAATCGTGGGACATCTAAGGAAGACTGTAGAGAGAAGGACAAAGTGGAGATACGTTCCAGTCGGAGCCCAAGGGAACAATAATAAATAAATCTGACTGACGTGCCAGTTAGTGATTATTTAACTTGAAATCAATCAAATCCATTTACAAGCCTACTCCACTTCAACATAAAAATTAATAAACAAACCAGTTTGTCTGTCTGTCTGGATTCAACATAGAACTTGGCACCGAAGTGCAGCAGTTCGAGTTGCCACCTAAAAAAGAAACCAGTTTACAAAAGTGATAGACAGCAAGCTAAAAATATATATTACCGTTTTCGTTTAGTAGAAACGCATTTACTGTTGGCATTTTTATTGTCAATATTACCTTGAGATAATGATTCGGGAGACTTTACTACACCGTCACCTGGTGTTCGTGGTAGATGTGGATAGACATAAGCCGTAAGCCCTCACCTGGCTGTATGAGTACGAGTAGAGTGCCTTAATCAGTGCAATATATTTTCTTGGAATTCCCTTTACAGCCAAGCATCTCCATAGAACTTCCCGATCGACAGAGTCGAATGCTGCCTTTAGGTCAAGAAATATAATGACTGTTGGACGCCGGTAGGAATGCCTACGATACTGGCCGTCAACTGAAGCAGAACAGGCTGGCCGAAGGCAAAAGAGATCTCAGGATATTATATAAAATAACCAGGTCTCTATCCGGAAAAAGATCAACCCACATGTTGAAATCAATAAAAGATGCTCAAGGGAACCTGATCATCAAGGAGGAGAAACAAGTCAAACAATGGGCTGATCACTTCAAAGGACTCTTGAATCGACCATCACCTGCAACTTACCCAGAAATACTATGCAAGGAACTGCTAGTGGACACCAATCCTCCAGCGAAAGCAGAAGTTCTGAAAGCGATCAAGCTACTGAGGTTCGGAAAGGCAGCATGACCGGACGGAATTCACCTTCAAAGTACTGAAACTGCAGCAGATGCTCTCACGCCATTATTACAAAAGGCTTGGAAGGAAGGGAAGGTGCCTGCTGACAGGAAGGAAGGCTACCTCGTCAAGCTACCAGAGAAGGGCAACCTAGGTCTGTGCAAGAACTGGCGTAGAATCATGCTCTTGTCCACGCAAAATGAAATACTAAGTCGCATCATCCTGGAAAGGGTGAAAGACGCACTGGATACAGGACTCCCACCCTGAACAAGCTGGATACAGAAAAGGCAAATCATGTGCTGATTAAATTGCAACTCTACTCATCGTCATCACAGAAAAAAGCATAGAACGGTAATCAAACTTCTCTCCACCTCAACTACATCGACTTCGAAAACGCTTTCGACAGTGCAGTGTTGACGAAGAAGTAATCTGGAAACTACTTCAAAACTAGAACGTCCAATGCAGAAATCTTTCCCAACCCCATTCAACTGCATGCTACGCGGGAGTGCCACGTGTCAGGTGATCCACAACGGGAAACCCAGCGACGAGCTTTAAGTACATATAGCAATAAGAGAGGGCGGTCTACTATCACCGATGATATTCATTGTGGCAGATTCAATTATGCGTAGGACTGTGTGGAGCGACGACACACGGGTACG